CCGGCCCCTGGAGTGACGTATTTTCTGGTGGTTATGAGCCCTGACTCAGGTGTCCGATGGACTTGGGTTCAACAGCGTGACCCACCACTCACACACCTTGTGACCCCGGGCCTGAGCCTTCTCCTCTGTAAACTGGGCACTCTTCCTGTAAACAGGGATTGAAGCTAACGGATGTGAACTGCCTGGTGCAGTGCCTGGCTCACAGTAGGCCCCCAATACCTGGTTCGTCTTCCACCACCCATTCTTGGTGTTAGTGGACTTTTGCATTCTTACTGGCTGCCCTGGTTTTGAACCTCTTCCCTTGTCTGGTGAATCCTCCACCTAATGATGCTTCCAATAGAGCAGCCTCAATTTACCAGCATGCTTTGCAGTGAGGGCCTGGGCACATGACCCAGGCTCCACGAATCACACACCCCTAGCCCTTTCCCACGGGGGCATCTCTGACCCAAGTAGGCAGGAGCACCCAGACCTATTCTGATGGTGCCTACATCCAGTGTCTAGGGTCATTAGGGACAGAGGTTCTGCAGGGACTGACCAAGACTGGGTGTCAGCAGGACGGGCTGCCATGTTGGTGCCCCATGGTGGGGGGCTGAGGGGTGATCTGGGCCACGAGACCTCTAAGCTAGCTTCTCTGGTTCTGCCTCCTAGAGACTGTGGGCTTTCTAGTGGCCTTTAATAAGTTCCTTTCCTGCTTAAGTAACCCACAGCTGGTTTCTGCTGACGGCGACCACAAACCCCACTGACTCCCCTCCCTAGGCCCGAAGGCTGACACTCCCTTTTAAGGCTATTCTCTGAACTGCTGACCTTCTCCTCCCCCAAGTTGCCTGTGTATTTAGATGCTCCTCCTGTGCCTCTAGCCAAGGAGCTGGCTGGAGCGAGCAGCTTCCACCAGGAAATTACAAAATTAGACCCAGGCCCAGAGTAATGAGGGTGGCACAAGCCGCGTTTATGGGAGAGTGCACATTCGCAAGGGGAATGCAGTCATGTTCTGGGTTTGAATCCCAGTTCCACGACCTACCACGTGTGTGATCTTGGGCCCACAGCACACCTCTCAGTTTCCTTATGTCACAGCACCCCAACTGTCACTTTGTGTATGTTTTGGGGTTAAAAAGAGGTGAGCGATGGAAAGCCCTTTGCCCCTTGCCTAACACATTGTAGGCATTGGATGTGAGAAGAAACTGAGTCAGGAAGGAGGGGCAAGACAATGGTTGTAATTTGCATCAGAATCACCTGGCAAGGTAAGTCATGCCCATTCCTGGACCCACTCCCAGAGTCAGACGCAGCAAGGCTGGGTGGGCCCCTGGGATCTGTATTTTTAACAAGTGTCCCCTGCCCAGAGGTCTCTGCTGCAGGGGCCTGGGGCCACTGCACTTGGAGAAATAGAGGATCCAAGGGGAAGGAGTGGGGTCTCTCAAGACATTAGCTTCTCTCTCACTGGAAGTTTCTATAGTAACCGTCTCAGGAAGAGTCCAACCTGGACTTGTGTTCCAGAAAGGATGCAGGTAATTTCTGTGTTTGACCTTCAATCACATGTAGAAGAGCAATGGATATTTTTCTCACTTGGATAACGCAATCATCTAGTAACGTGGGTATTAAAATAGTTCAAATTTAGTTAGCACTTCTCATGAGCCAGGCTCTGTGCGAGTACTTTGTGCTAATAAACACAAAGTGAAGTCATTATCCCCATCTCACAGGTGAGGAAACTGAGGCCCAGAGAGGTAAATTGGCTTGCCCAAGGTCACATGGCCTAAAAGTAGGGATTTGAGTCCAGGCAGGCTGGATTCCACAGCCCATGCAATAAGCTGTGCCCCCTTCAGGATATCACTTTGGGGTATCCTGAGGACGTTAGAGGTGAGGGTCTCCAGCTGGCGTCCATGCTTCCAGTCAAAGGCTGAGGCGCTGGGTGGGAATACGTGGGGGACAAGTGTGAGGGAGTGGGGGACATCAGCCAGAGACGGGTCCCTGACTCACTAGGACCCCCAGCTGCCACCTGGGAAATCTATGACTCAGCTGTGGGGATGGGAGACTCCTGGAGTTCAGGCGGCTCCGTTCCGTTCTCAGCACAGGCCTGGCCTTACCACTGGGCTGTGTGGCCTTGGGCAAGGTGCTTCACTCTCTGAATTGTGCTGTGAAGGACAGCTGAGACGGGGTTATGCCCCGTGCCCAGCAGGAGCTCCCCCTGTTGTCATCATTCAGTAGTGTGGAGGCAGCTGCGGTGACGTGGGTTTTGCCACATGACAATGGACCTGGGTTTTGCCACAGCCAGATTCCACGCAGAGGGCAGGAGTGCACAGCTGGTGCAGCTCCCCACCCAGCAACCATCCCCGCTTCTTCCAGGAAGGGCATCTCCATTTTCACTTGAACAGATGACTTGTGCTTCTGTAACTTGTAGCTGGACTGATTCCAAGAGGACGTCAGAAACTTACATCTATTGAGTGCCAGTAGTGTCCCAGGCACTGTACATGATGAAACCATTTAATCATCAGGACAAGCCTGTAAAGCAGGCTTGTAGATGTGGAAACTGTAGCTCAGACTGATAGCCCAGCCCAGCCCATCTTTTAAACAGGAGTGAGCCTTTCAGTTTATAACTATGAGTGACTTTTCTTGGAGGGGCATTTATTCATTCAATAAATATTTAATGAGAGCCGACCGTGTGCTAGGCATGGTGCTAGACCTTAGGGATAAGATCCCCACCGACAAGGCCCCACCCTCATGGCGTGCCCATTCCAGATGGCACAGAGGTTTCTCACAGGCCAAATCCAGGTGGCAGCAGCTGCCTGTCACATTATGAGGATTCTGAGCCAGCTCTGGGCTTGGCAGGGTGCTGTCAGGGAGTTTCTGCGTGTATGCTGCATGTTGGATACCCGTGTTTTAGACTTTTGAAGACTGCTCATACAAATGTATATAACAAAGCAGAAATACATCCTGGTCAGAGCACAAGTTCCGATTTTTATTTTGAAAATAGCCACTGTAGATCTAATTAGTAGGCCCTGCCCTCAAGGAACTTAGGGTCTAATTGGTGGCCTAAGGTCCACAGGAACAGGACAGCCTGACCCAGAGCTCAGAGCTGGGGCAGGCCACACAGATGGGGATGATCAGGGAGGCTTCCTGGAAGAGGAGCTCAGTGGACTTGGCTAGGTGGAGTGGGGGCAGGGGGAAGGCATTTCAGGAGAAAGCAGCAGCACAGGCAAAGGTATGGAAGTGTGAAGTGGGTGTGAGGTGGGGGTGGGAGAAGAGAGGATTCTGGCCTGGCTGGGGTAAGGTGTTGGGGGAATGAAGGTGAAAAGGTAATAACAAGGGTGGACCACGGAGGCCTCAGTGTCAGGCCTGACCCTGCCTCTCCCCGTCCACCCCCTTTCATTTGGGAGCCACCGAAGACCCCGAGCAAGGGCATACCCAATGAGATATTTCTTGGTGCCTGGAATAAGGGGAGAAGTTAGAAATGGGAGGTGGCTATAACACCATGGAATGAAAGAGGGCCCCTGCACGCAGGTGGGGGTTAGGGGACCTGGCTTCCAGTCCCTCGTCTATGCTGACGTGCTGTGTGGCCACAGGCAAGGCCCTTACCCTTCTGGGCTGGTCTCCTTCTCCGTCTTCTCTTAACGGCCCTTTCAGACCATGACTGGGTGAACTCAGGTGTGTGTGGGGGGGTCACTTGGCTCAGTTAGGGTCTCCATTTTCTACTTTTCTTTGGCCTTGAAGACCTGGACTAAGGCGAGTCCACCCATGGTTTACCTCAAGCTTCAGGCTCCTGTGGCTCAGCCCTAGGCTGTGTCCACGCCTGAGCTTCCAGAGGCATTTGTCTCACAGAAGAGAAAACATGACCTTGGAGCCACTTTCTGGCTGTGTACTTGGAGATGGACTTGGCCTCTCTACTTACCTCACAGGCATGATACACACCATGGAGATAGTGCCTTTAAAGCTGCCGGGCACACAGGCAGCACCTCTGCGCTCAGCGGGCAGTAAGTGCTCAACTGGTGGCGACTGCCTTTCTTGCTGTTGCTCCTATCGGGGCTCCTGTGTGGGACTCTCGGCTGTAAACTTCTCAGAGGCTGGCAGTGTCTCCTCCATGGGGCTGAACACCAGCTGGGCCCCCAGGCAGGATCTGACACCCAAGGCTAGTGCACCTCTGCCCAGCTAGTCACGAGGACTGTGACGTGAGTCTGCCTGGCCTGGTGAGCAGCCCCACCCTGGGTGGGGGCCCTGCGTCATTCCTCACGGGACTGCCCAGCACATGGGTCCCAGGCCCTCCCCAGGCACCATGTGTGACAGGCACCTCTGTCCAACCAAACCCACCAGGACCTAAACTAAATTCCTCCCCCTTTTCTGTTTAATTTTATATGGTTCTTTTTGGGATAGGTAATACATTCAAATATTTCAAACTTTAAAAGGCACCAAAAAGTGTGCTATAAAATTAAATCCCCTCCCAACCCAGCACACAGCCCCATTAGTTCCCCTTTCTGGAGACAACCAATCTGAATTCCTTTTTTTTTTTTTTTTTATGGTGAGGAAGATTGTCCCTGAGCTAACATCTGTGCCAATCTTCCTCCATTTTGCACATGGGACACTGCCACAGCATGGCTTGATGAAGCCGTGTGTATGTCCACGCCTAGGATCCAAACCATGCGAACCCCAGGCTGCTGAAGCGGGGTGCACGAACTCAACCACTACGCCACAGGGCCAGCCCCCTACATTCCTTTTTAAAACAATTAAACTTAATTTGCTGCTCCTCCCTTACAAAAATCATAAGCATTCAAAGCAAAAACTAACTTCAAAACAAAACAAAACAAAATCCCACCACCTTGGAATCTACACAAAAGTACAAACCAAAAATCACACCCACAATCCCACCACCATCCAGATTTTCTGCACTTTAGTATATTTCCTTCCAGACTGTTTTCAGTACACATCCACTTTTCAAAAATGAAAACCAAACCCAAAATCAGAACCGCAATTCTGATTTTTCAATATCTTGCAGTATCTCAGGAACATTTCCTCATGGTTTGTTTCCTTAAGCGACTTTAACAGCTTGGTGAACTTCCATAGAAACTGGCTTATTGGGCCAGACCCTAGTGATGGGCATTTGGGATTTCCAGATTCCCCTATTATAAGCCACACAGCGATGGGCCCTCATTGCCTACTTGTTTATTTTCTTGTAACAAGTTCCTAGAAGCAGCAATACTGGGTCACAAGGTTTGGCCATTTTTTAAGACCCTGGATACCCATCAAACTCCCCTCACATTCAGCAGGACCAGGTGTCCAATCCAAATCCACTTTCCTCAAGGCCAAGTCTTGTTCACACCCCTCCCAGCAGCAGCTGTGTGTGCCCCCAACCCACCTCCACTTCTAGAGTAAGGCCAAAGTCCTCCTCCAGGCCTGGCCACCTGCCTTGTTTACCTGGCCCATCCCAGTCCCAGGTGAGTCAGCTGAGCAGGGTAGGCGCCACCCTTCCCAGAGCAGGAACTCAGCTGGGACAAGGGCCACCACCTTCCAGGGAGAGGAACAGACACTCTGGGCAGTGGCTGGAGAAGGACGTGCAGCAGCAGCTGGCCTGCAGGTAAGAGCCGGGCTGGGCCCGTCGTGGCTGGGACAGGGAGAAGCGAGACTTGCTCTCACCTGCCTCATTCCCACCCTGGCCCGCCCCTTTTGGGACTTCCAGGCAGTTTCTTCTCAAGGTGCTTCACTCTGGGAGGGAAGTGTGACTGGGGTCTCCTCTTCTGACTCCGGCCCTGGGCCAGGAGTGAGGGCTGAGTGACCTTTATCCAAACATCACGAGGGCCCCGGCTCCTTCTGACTGCGCATGACAGTGCTCAAGGAGGTCGGACCCCCACTTTGCTCCTTGAAGTAGGCCTTGGAAGGCCAGGCAAAGAGCCAGTCCTCAGCTTCTGTTACTCACTTCTTTGCCTGAAGCTATTTCTACCAACAACGTCCTACCATGGCAGGGAAAATCTGCTGGGGAACTGGGCCGGTGGCCTGACCTCTCTGAGAACTGGTTTCCTCATTTGGAGACTGGAAATATCCCCACGCAATCAGAACTGAATGAGATAATGACCTAAGAGGTCAATATGTGCCCTCCACACAGCAGTTTCAGAATATGGTGCTTAAAATGAGGCTGCTGTGTGCCAGGCCGGCACCACACTGGCTGCTTCCCACCCAGTGGCCCAAACTAGTAACAATTCTAACACCACCATGGCTTCTCACCTAGGCTCCCTGCGTCCACCCTTGCCCCTCTAGTCTGTTCTCCAAACATCAGCAGAGGGGGCCTGTTAAAAAGGAAGTTGGACCACGCCACCCTGCTGCTCAAAATTCTCCAGTGGCTCACATCTCACTAGAGTAAATGCCAAGTCCTCGCCATGCCCCAAAGCCCCTACAGGATCGGGCCCTCACACCACTTCTCCCACCTCCTCTCCGGCTACTCCCCTCTGAACACTGACTTAGTCTCACTGGTCACAACAGGCACTCCCACCACAGGGCGGCCACAGCGGCTAATGCTGAATGCTCTTCCCTACCACTTTACTCAAAAGTCACTCTCCACCCACCTTCCCCGCCAACAGTGAGACTCTTCTGGACCTCCTGACAGTCTCTATCCCCCATCCTGCTCTATCTTTCTCCCCATCACTTCCCACCATCTAACACAGCATACCCACTTATTTATCCACCTAGAAAGTGACACTCCTCAAGGACAGATTTTTCTTTTGTTCACTGCCTTATTACTGGTACCTAGAACAGTACTGGGACTTGGACACTCAGTACATGTACTGAATAAATGAACAATAGCTAACGATTACTGCATGCCCTTTACGTGCTAGGTACTGTGCTGGGTGCTTTCCAAACACATCTGACCTCTTTTTAAGAATCTTTTAATCTCCACAGTAACTCTGTGATGCAAGTATTGTTACCCATATCACAAAGGAAGAAATGACACTCAAAAGGGACTTGTCCATGCTTGCTCTCCCGTCAGAGGCAGCAGTCTGAACGCAGTACTGCCTGCCTCCAACATCCTTGCTCCTGCCCTGGCCCTCCTGGGCCTGGACTGGGAGCCTCTGCATTCCTTGAAGTCCACAGCTCTTCTCCAGCAGGCAGTACAGCCCTGGGGGGAAGGGGTACATGCTGGTGGCCTAGCAGCAGCCTCTTCCTTCCCACCCCTCCATACCCCGGGGCTAATGTGGCCTTCTAGGAGCTACTCCTCTGACACTCTAACCCATGCCTCCCTCCTGCACAGTCTCCTGAAGGATGGATGAGGTGTCCACAGGAACAAGTGGGAGTCCCAGAGTTTCAGCTCTCTGGAACAAAGTGTTCTGAAGGAGTGTTCTTATTCCAAAGATGGGGGCTGCCAGCCCCTGCTGATCTCTGAGGACCTGACTGCTGCTTTGTTGTGGGTGTTGGTTGTTATTGCTTATAATACCAAAGAGTACAGAAGCTCAGGGATGGAAATTCTGCAAAGCACAGCGGGAGAGGAAAATGCCTCTGGGATAGACGGGTTAGATGGCTTCTTTTCCTTTCAGAGGAGCCAATTAATTGCCGGAAGCCAATAGCACTGAAATTGAGCAAACTCTTCCACTGTCAGATGGTAGGAGCCAACCTTTCAATCTACCTCACTGGGGCAGTGGTTTTTCTCTTTCTAGGCCCAGGGTTTTCCTTTAAAGGACTTTTTTGGGCTTTCCTCTGCCCTCTGTGTCTGCTTTTCCACTCCTTTAAGAAACAGGGGCCGGCCTCGTGGCTTAGCGGTTAAGTGCGTGTGCTCCATACTGGCGGCCCGGGTTCGGATCCGGGGCGCACACCGACGCACCGCTTGTCCGGCCATGCTGAGGCGGCGTCCCACATACAGCAACTAGAAGGATGTGCAACTATGACATACAACTGTCTACTGGGGCTTTGGGGAGAAAAAGAGGAAAAAAAGGAGGACTGGCAATAGATGTTAGCTCAGGGCTGATCTTCCTCACCAAAAAAAAAAGAAACAATAACGCCTGCTGTATGCCAGGCACTGGGTGCAGCACTGGGGATTCAGAAATGAGCCACATTCCTGACCAGAGAGGGAGACAGGCAAGAAATACAACACAGTGGAAATCCAACCCAGGAAATGCAGGGGGCCTTGATCACAGGAGGTGCTTAATAAACATTAGTGGAATGAAGGATCAACAGGTGAATATGAGATTCTGTGGTCTAGAGATGGGAGGCTTGCCTAACTGTGTGTGTGTGGATGTGGGGATTTGGGGGAAAGCTTAGAATTGAAGGAAGAGCAGTTCACCAGATGAACAAGGGGGAAGGAGAGGGCATTCAAGACAGAGGCATCTGCAAAAGCACGTAGGCGTGAACTAGCAGGGTGAGTTCTGGGATCAGCAGTGTGGAATGTATTAAATGCAGCGTGAGTGTGGAAGAGTGAGGAGGTGAGATTGGAGATGGTACCAGGAGTCGGAGATTTGAATGCCAAGTTGAAGTTTGAGATTTATCCTGAGGGCAAGAGCTGGGTATGGCTTCAAGAGCAGGGTAACTCCCAGACTTCTGGCTCAAACCATGGGGTGGATTTGGTGGGGCAGCTGTAGAGCAGCAGCAAAATTGGGGAAAAATGAGTCCAGTCTGAATAACCCACAGGAGGTAGTAAAGATCTGGAAGGCAGCTGGACTTTTGGGCCCAGGCCTCTCTATCCCTGGAGTAGCACACTCCACTTCTACCCTCCTGAACCCTCCTTCCTTCCACCAGGACGCCTTCCTGGTTGCCCTAGCCTCTTGTCCCGCACCCCACAGACTCGACTGCCTGGGTCCCTCATAACAAGCAGTGGGTCCAGTTTTGCTGTGGGAAGTGATCTGCCCAGCAAAGCACAAGACCCCTCCCCTGAGCTGCAGGGCTCAGTCACTCAGGCACTGTTGGGTGGGATCCGGGGGTGAATCTGCGTGGAGTGGGGCGAGGCATCTGCAGCTCAGCAGAGGGTCAGGAGTCGGGGCCAGGCTAGAAACCCCGGAGAGAAAGAGTGGGAGGGATGGTGACGTCACGACGGGTAGGAACTACCCGGGACTGAAGGCGCTTCCGAAAGCGTAGGCAGCGAGGGGGCGTCCTTTTCAGCTCCACCAGCAGGCAGCGGGGAGCGCAGCGTGGGAACTTTGCCCTCCTCCCCTCCCCTCTGCCAGCTGCCTCAGTACAGAATCCTATCGGTCAGCGGCGGGCGGCTCAACCGCACCTTCCCTTCTTCGGAGCCGTAACGGGCCCTCAGGGGTCAGGGGCGTGGGGAGGGGAAGGGGCGTTCGCCCCTTTAAAGCTCGATCTGACCCGCGCAGCCTCCAGCCCGGTAAAGAGCAGACACGGAGCCGGACAGAGCCTTCCCATCCCTTACTTTTCTGCTTTACCTGATCTCTTTTTGGCGATGCCGGCGCCAGCCACAGGCGTCTGGAGAAAGCGAGAAGCCAGAGAGATTCTTAAGAACCACTGGGCAACAACCAGCGAGCGAAAACACCACCTTTTTCCACCCCGCAGCCGCGGGGCATCCTGGGAGCCGCCCGTAGTCGCGCGGAGGCCAGGGTGGGCGAGACGCATGCGCTCTAGATGACGCAGCGCGCCCTAGCGGCCTGGCGGGGTCTCTGCGCAGGCGCCGTAGCCAATAGCAACCGGGAGTTGTCGCTTCTGGCCCGGTTCGCAGTCAGGGCTGGGTGGGTGTGGGAGTCCTTTGGAGATGACTGAGCAGAGTGACAGATTGGGAAACTGAGGCCTGGGGTGAAGAAGAGGTCCTGGGACCGTTGGGGCTTTCTCCGGTGTCCCAGTGCATGGAGTTTGTGCCTGGCTGTTCCCGTTTCACAAAGCGGGAAATTGAGGCTGGAGAAGGGGGCGGGTTCGTCCTGAGGGGCCGTTCTCCCTGGGTAAAAAAATCAATATGATGCCCTGTCTTTATGATGAAGGAGAAATGAGGGCAATGAGAGTAATTTATAATAAGAATATGCATTTCACTGTGTAAAAGTTCAGACTGGGTTACACCCAGTCGTGCTTGTACCTAACAGAAGGAGTACGTTTGGATTTAATGGAAGACAATATTCAACTGAATTTTCCCAACAGTTTATATTTGACATCTTGGATCAAAGGCTAAATGTCTGTATACGGGCGTGGAGTCACGGTGACGGCTACAATGCAGACACACGTGGGCGTGTTCTGGTGACTCACCTGTGGTGAGAAGGATCAACAGTGGTTTTCCAAAATGGTGGTCAAAATAAAGTATAATTTTCCCGGATTAACCTGGTATATACACTTCTGGGTAATATATTGTATATTAAAACCGGAAAAAAAACCTCATTGTATTTGTATATAAAACAGGTTATAAACAGATTTTTTGCCTACATGCAGGTTTGGCAGGATACTGGAAAGTTGTGCGGGACAGAGGACAATTGCATTACAAGAGGTCCAGATCTCTGCTCCCTGAATGTGTCCCCTCAAGTCTTGTGACACCAAAAAATACTTAGACAAATTTCTAATCTGTTCCTTGGAAAACCACTGATTTATTCAGTCAAATAACAATTTTTGCCAGCGTACATGTGCTGGGCACTGTTTCGGTGGGGAGGTATAGTGTGGTGAATGGGGTGCAGCCCCTGCCCTTCTGAGGGGGGTCCAGTGTGAGAAAATACCCAGGTATTAATCATACAATATGATAAATAGCTTGACAATAGAAGCAGTACAAGTCAGGGTTAGGAACACAGGAGAAGACCCAGCCAACCAGCAGGGGGTCCCATGGCCTGGAAAAGCCAACCAGAGAAGTAGCATTTGAATTGAGCCTTGAAAGAGCACCACGAAGGGAAGGGTGGTGTGCCAGCAGAGGGACCAGCATGACTAAAACAGGTCCAGGCTCCCCGGCACACGGCAGACTCTCAAATGTCATGACTGAATAAATGGATAGTTGAAGGAGACACAGAACATATTTGCTGGCAGGGAGCTGTTCCTCACTATGTCATGAACTGCTACAAGGCAGAGGAATACCTGCTTCCTGATTCTGCCCAGAACTCTAAAACTGAGTTGGGGCCCAGAGAAGGTGGCAGTAGTGAAAGGGTCCCAGACACAGAGAAAGGGTTGTGTGGTCCTGGCCTGGAAGTGGTTTCCAGGAAGTGGATCTCTTTTTTATTTTTGTGAGGAAGATCAGCCCTGAGCTAACATCCATGCCAATCCTCCTCCTCTTTTTGTTGAGGAAGACTGGCCCTAGGCTAACATCTGTGCCCATCTTCCTCCACTTTGTGTGGGATGCCGCCACAGCATGGCCTGATGAGTGGTGCATCAGTGTGCGCCCAGGATAAGAACCTGGGCCGCCAGCAGCGGATCGCGCTCACTTAACCGCTACACCACGGGGCCAGCCCTGGAAGTGGATCTCTGATTCTGCTCTCCCAGAGGGCAGCTGCTAAAAATATTAACCACTCTGCTGCTTCAGTTTAGAAAAAGCAGGGCAGAGGTGGCCTCTTACTTTCACATCTGCTGTTCATGCCTGATCCTGGTGGCAGGGCATGTTTTTGGTAGATGGTACCTCCTGAGGACTGTCCGAAGGTGAAAATCTCCCAGAGGGTGTGTCCAGCGGGAAGGCCACAGGAAAGGAGTCTCTCCCCTAGCCAGTTTAAAGGAGGTCAGAGCCAGTCTCCCCCTCCCCTGGGACAATCCCTATCCTCTTGAGGTGATCATTTCTGTCCCAAAGGCCAGGCTAGGGCAAGGATCTGGAACTGCCTGCCTCTAGGAGCTGAGCAGGCAACGTAAATTGGCTGGGTGGGTCCTTCGGGAAACAAGAAAGCATGTAGAGCCCCATCTAAGAGGGAGGCTGTGTGTTGCCAGGAATGATGCTGTTGCATTGCCAAATATTTTGGTTTTTTTTCAATACAGTTAGAAGTGAAGAATTTTATGTTTCCAGATTTTAAAATGAAGGCACTAATTTAAATTTAAATTTAAAAAAGAAACTGTGAGAAGCAAATGAAACACGTTTGAGACCTCTGGTCCTTGTTTGCATCCTAGGAAGGTGGGAGTCTGAGGACATCAGAACTTTATTTACAAGGAGAAGAGTGGAAGCCCAGGCAGAATGCATTGCCTTTGGCAATATTATTGAGTGAATGTCCGTGCTAGGGGCTAGGGGTTCCACAGCAAATGAGAAGGCCCACTTCCTGCCCTTTTGGAACTCCCAGTCTAACAAGGTAGATGGAGAAGTCAAGAGGCTACTACAGGTGTAACGAACAATCCACAGGAGTGAGGACATGGGTGAGGTTGGGGTGCAAATCAAGGCAAGCTTCCTGAGAGAAGAGTCCTCTGGTCTGGGACTTGAAAATGATTAGGAGTTAGCCAGGGAGTGGAGGGCGTGGAAGAGTATTCCACATAGAGGGAATAGCACAGGCAAAGGCCTGGAGACCTGAGAAAATTCAATTAGTTCAAAGATCTGAAAGGAGCTCGTTGTGGCTGGAGCTGAGATTGGGGGTTAGGAGAAGGACACGTGGCAAGAAATGAAGCTGGAGAGTTAGACAGGAGCTGCAAACAGATGTCTGTGAGGACTCAACACCAGTGAGTAAAATGGTCTAGATGTAAGAGACAATAGAGAGCAGTGGGGCCTGGGGCACCCTACAGTCTGCTGCTGCTTCGCTATAGCTACTCAGCTGCAGTCCAAGGTTGCCAAAGTTTCCTGTTATTCAGGAGCAGCAAAATTAGATTATTAAATGCTGTGTCTTGAGTTGTACATTAGGCCGCTAATTTGAATGTGTGAAGTACTCTGCAAGGTCAAATAAAATCTGTTTGCATCTGGCCTGTTCCTATCACTGGAGGAATCATGAAGGCCTTGTGGGCCACTTTAGGGAATTGGGCTAGATCCTGAGAGCAGTGGGGAGCCACTGGGGGGCTTTAAGCAGGAGCATGACATCCCAGGCTCATGCAGACAGGGCCTGTTTGCTGCTGTCTGGAGAACAGCAAGAGAGGAGGCAGGACCCGTGGGAGGATCTCGTGGCCCCTGGGGAGGGGGTGGGAAGATGATGGAAGTCTGCACAACATCATGGGGATTAGGGATGGGATGTGGGAGAGATGGGATTTGGTGGCAGATTAGGAGGGGTGCTGTGTGTTTGGGGGTGGTTAGGGTTGATGCAAGGGTCAGGCAGCAGGTGCAGAGGAAGGAGAAGGAGCAGTGATGGATGAGGATGACTTTGGCCCCTGGGGTCACTCAGGGGAGATACCCAGATGACCTGCACCTGGGCGGGGCTGGAGTCACACCACCCCTGGCACAGGCCACTCAGTTCCGTGTGACACCCAGCCATCCCTTTATTGTGTACCAGGGAATGTGGGCCCAGTGGGGTGGATAGGACACACTTTGATCCTAAGGAACTGCAATTGGGAAGCTGGGAAGACAAGAAGACGAGACAGGACAATTAATGAGGCAAGAGCCTGGCCCAGGGTCTCTCCCAGAGGGCACGGCCCTGGGTGGGAGGAGCAGTGACCTTGTTGCCTGGGGAGCCCGGGGAGGCCTGTCCAGCAGGAACCAAGGGTGATAAAGGATGGGGCAGGGCATCCAGTTGGAGTGGACCGGCTCAGTAAAGGCCTGGAGATGTGACAGAGCCAACGGGTCAGTGGGAAAATGGAAAAGAACCCAGAAAGACAGACTGCTCCTTCCTCACATTTTATCTAGAAAGGAGGTTAAGCGTTTCTTGCGAGGTAATTCCTTTGAATTTCTTCGAGTACCTTTCTCCGAGGTCCTACTGCTTCTACTCTGGGACAGTTAGGTGTTTAGTAAATGTTCGTGGTGCTTCCCCAAACCCCCATTCCCTCCTCCCTCTGGAGCAATGAATGTTTAAATTCTGCTACAGTTTGTGTGTCTGTTTTGAACAATATCTGTCGGTCTTAGTTCGTTGTAGCCAAGATCAGGGCTGGAAATGGGCGGTAAACAGTAGGAGCTCAAATACGCAGAGGTGAAGAAGGGTGTGGGGGGTAGTGCCCTGCTGCCTTGCTGTTGTGATATGAAGTCCGCACCCACTCAACACTGGCCTGAATCCTGTGCTGCTGTGGGACCATGCTGTGCAAACCCCTAACCTAGGCTGGGTATGCAGCAAGTGCTCACTAGGAACCTGCTGGATTGAATTTTGGTCTCGAGTGATCAGACCTCATTAGCCTGTCTGACCTTTGAAACATGGCAGAAAGGGCATGGCCCCTAGTCCTGCTTTTCCTGGCTAGCGTGTCCTGGGTGGTCCTCTGGGTCTGGGTTCTAAAGCCCAGGGTCAGTTAGACATCATGGGATGGAATTTTGCGAGGGTGGAGACCATGGGCTTAGGAACCAAACAGACTTGGGTTCAAATCCTGCTCCCCCATCTCCAAAATGGGGATAATAATACCTTCTTGGTATCTTCTCATCCTGAGAGTGCTGAGTGACACACATGGGCAGGAGGTGGACGTCCGTGCCTCCTCCCACTCCTCACCCCTCCTCACCCCCTGTAACCTGCAGGGTGTTCCAAGGAGCAGCCATGTCCGCCCTGTACCCATCTCTGGAGGACCTGAAGGTGGACCAGGTAATTCAGGTAAGCCGCCAGGCCTGTGTTAGCCTGGGCCCTGTGATGGGGCCTTTGGGATTACCCCAGGGTAGCTAAGGGAGGCTTGCCTTGGAAGGTGCTGGGTGTTGGGGGCCCCTGGGCATGCAGGTCGCCACTGCAGGACCTGCTGGGTGGAGCAGGTGTCCAGAGGCCAAGGCAGTGGAGTTACAGCAGGAATGGAGAAGACGGAGCAGCTGCAGACTGGCCTCGCTCAGGCCTGCTCTGTCCCAGAGCTTCCTCTGTCGGGTTTGGGGAGACCCCACACTGTAGGGCAGGCTTCCAAAGTAAACCCCATGGGCATGGCATTTGGCCTGCTTAGCCCCCAGAAGCTCCTTCCTCTTCTGTCCCACCCGTGGTCCCAGTGGGTTTTGAGGATTTGGGACTTTTTGACTGAGGATGTGGTTGGGAGGTGGGTCTCAATGTGCTGGTGGCCTCAGGTGGTCAACAGATCATGACATTTGGTGGGTGTGGGCCCCTGGGAGAACCTGCCCCCAGAAACGTGGACATCTGCAGAGGCCACATTTACACACAACCTCAAAGGTTCAGAGACGCCCCCCCTCAATCCCCCAGCGTACCTAATGCCCTGACCCCCAGCCTCAGGGAGCCCCAGGCTCCAAGGGTTCTGGGGATCCTGGCCACAGCTGACCAGTAATCCCTGCCCCTCGCCAGGCCCAGGCCAGAGCCGCGTCCAGGATGCCTGCCCTGCCAGTCCAGGGGACAGCCGTCTCCCAGCCTTCAGGTGAGTGAGTGGCAGTTGGGGGTGCTCTTGACCGAGAGTGACCTCTTCTGGTCACTTCCAGATGCTCTCCTCTTAAGTCTGCCACTGTGCGCTGGGCTTATGCGCATTTCACTCTCACTAGGACCCTGCGAGGGGTCACCGAGAAGACCGGGCTTAGTGAGGGCCTACCATCCTTGATTGGGCCGCCACAGAAGGCGGCATGAGGAGGCCAGGATGTCTGGGCCCCCTAGAGTGGTTCGCGGCAGTCTTGAACAAACAAGACTGGTGGTGAAACTTGACCTCAGGCCCAACTCCGCCCCCTCACTGTGTACACTGTTCCGAGCTGCCCTTGCCTCAGACGCCTGCCTCCTGCAGCAACCGCAGCCGGGGCATTTCTCAGGGGCAGGCCTCATGGCCCCAGCACCAGCTCTGTGCTTTGTGTTGCGTGTCTGGTCGGTGCCAAATAAAGTCAGTTGAGTTGAACACCAAAGTGGCACGTGAGGGCCTCAGTGTCCCGGGCCGCTCTTGGAGAAAGGCAGCTCCCTGCTCCCCAGACCTTCTGAGGAGAGGACCCCCGTCACCAGCAGTGTCCCTGCGGTCCTCTCCCACAGCTCCCGTGTTCCTGCGGACACAGAGAGTTCTCAGGGATATGCTGCTTTCTCGGGAATAAACAGCATTCCCAGGCCCTGGTTCTTCATCAACATGACCGACCACCTAGGAGCCAGCAGGTGTGGCTAGGCTCGTGCCCTTGAGTAACAGCGTTCTCCTTCCTTCCCTCCCTTCCCATCAGTTTTATACCCAAACCTGGCAGAGCTGGAAAATTATATGGGTCTTTCCCTCTCCAGCCAAGAAGTCCAGCAGAGCCTGCTGCAGATTCCAGAAGACGCCAGTGTAGGTATTTGTTTCTTGCCTAATGTGGGCACAGAAGGTTCCGCCTCTCCCTCCTTGGTCTGGCCATTTAAACACACTTGAATCTCTTCTTTCTCCGGCATTCCTGCGGCTCTGTTTCTTGATGGCACTTCTCATTTTGAGCCTTCATTAAAAGTGCTGTGGGGTTTCATGGTTTCCCACGGGCCTTGGGTTTGGAGGGCCACCACCTGCCCTTTGACCTCTGGCTTCAGGCTGCTGGCCTGAGCCTGCTGGGTAGAAGGAAGGACATTAAATCCAGTCTGAGCTGGGGGGCTTCTGATGAAGGGCTGCCTGTGACAAGTGCAGCTGCGTGGACAGGCAGAACCAAGGCGGGAGGAGCTTGTCACCTGGCTCTTGTCCCCAAATTAGCCAGTAACGCTTGATTCCTGCTCTCCAGGGCTTCGGGGAGCAAAAGAAATCATAGCACAGGAATATTCTCTCCTGAAAATATGTTCACTTAGAGACCCAGTCCCCACTCAGACCTCCTCCCAGTGTCCCTGTGGGTCATTGGTCAGTGTCCTTGTCTGCCCAGCTCCCCCTGAGCCAGTGAAAATCAATTGCAAAGGGAAACCGCGACTCTGGCTAAGGCTGGATGAGTTCATGAAGTTGATGGAATCAACGAGGAGAACTGTCACAGCCACATGCAAAGCCACTGACAAATGAGGACCTCACGGGAGAAAACCGACAAGGATGAGGACATGTGGGACCCTGAGAAGAACTGGTGACATTCTCTAAAATGACCCCCTTGATGGTCATGCTGTGAAGGACAAACGTGAAGCAAAGAAGGGCATGTTTACATAGTTCAGTTTTAATCCCTTGACTTAATTCCTGTTTGTTCCGATAATTAGGACATAAGTGCATTCAACCTAAATTTTGAGAAAATATGACAGACAAATGCATTTTTATAATTAAAAAATTTTTTAATTGTCTTTATTTTTAACTTTTTATTTTTAAATAATCGTAGATTCACAGGAAGTCGCAAAGATAGTGCAGAGGAGGGTACAGCAGATGCCAGCCTTCCCCACCCGATTCCCAATGGCTGTATTTTACGTAACTGTAGTAAAATGTCAGTGACAGGGATCAGAGACAGGCATTGTGTCCTAGTTCTGTTTGGTTTGTCACCTATGTGGATTCATGTAACCACCACCACAGTCAAGATACAGAACTATTCCATCACCACCAAGGTCTCCCTCGTGCTGCCCCTTCATAATCATGCCCACCCTCTCCCCTCACCATCCCTAACCCCTGGAACCACCCATCTGTTTTCTGTCTCTATAATTTTGTTGTTTCAGAATGTTATGTAAACAGAATCATTTAGTGTGTGATCTTTTCAGGTTGGCATTTTTCACTCAGCATAATGCCCTTGAGATTCTTCCAAGTTGCTGTGTGTATCAATAGCTCATTCCTTTTTACTGCTGAGTAGTATTCCATGGTATGGATGTACCGTGGATTGTTTAACCCATTGAGGGACATTTTAGTTATTTCCAGTTTTTGGCGATTACAGACTAAGCTATTATGAATGTTTGTATATAGTTTTTTTGTTTGTTTGTTTTTTTGTTTTTTTTTGTGAGGGAGATCAGCCCTGAGCTAACATCTGATGCCAATCCTCCTCTTTTTTGCCAAGGAAGATTGGCCTGGGCTATCATCCGTGCCCATCTTCCTCTACTTTATACGGGATGCTGCCACAGCATGGTTTGACAAGCGGTGCGTCGGTGCGCGCCAGGGATCCAAACCTGGGAACCCTCAGGCTGCTGAAGCAGAGCGCGTGCACTTAACCGCTGCACCACCAGGCCGGCCCCCTGTATACAGCTTTTTGTACAGACATAAGTTTTCATTTCTCTGGGATAAATGCCCAGGAGTGCAATTGCTAGGCTGTATGATAAATGTATGTTTATATATTTTTAAGAAGCTGCCAAACTATTTCCAGAGTGGCTGTACCATTTTATTTTCCTGCCAGCAATGCATGAGTGCTCCAGGTCCTTCACATCCTCGCCAGCATTTGGTGTTGTCACTATTTTTAATTTTAGCTGTTATGATAGGTGTGTAGTGATGTCTTGTCATGGTCTTGATTTACATTTCCCTGATGGCTAGCGATGTTGAACAGCTTTTCATGTGCTTCTTCAGTAGCTGTAAATTCTTTTCAGTAAAATGTTTCTTTAAATCTTTTGCTCATTTTCTAAATGGATTGTTTTTTAAGTCAAGTTTTGTGAGTTCCTTATTCCAGAGTCCTTTCTCAGACATGTGGTTGTAAATATTTTCTCCCAGTGTGTAGCTTCTCTTTTTATCCTATTAAAAGGGTCTCTTGCAGAGCAAAAGTTTTGAATTTTGATGAGGTTCAATTTATTGATGTTTTGTATGTATGTGGATCATCCTTTGGTATCCTGTCTAAGAAATTTTCACCAAGCCCTATGTCCTGAAGATATTCTCATTTATTTTCTTCTAAAACCGTTATAGTTTTACATTTAAATTTATGATTGAATTTGAGTTAGTTTTTGTAAAAGGTGTGAGGTTTAGGTCAAGGTTCGTATTTTTGCCTATGGATGTTCAAGTGCTCCCACACCGTTTGTTGAAAGGACTATGCCTTCTCCATTGAACTGCTCTCACGCCTCTGTTAAAAGCAGTTGGCCCTACCGCGTGAGGCTATTTCTGGATTCTCTCTTCTGTTCCGCTGCTCTGTGTGTCTGCCCCTCCGCCAGTATCGCACTGTCTTGATTCCTATAGCTGCAGAATAAGTCTTGAAATTTGGTGGAGTGATTCTTCTTGCTTTACTGTTTTTGTCAGAATAGTTTTAGCGATTCTAGATCCTTTGTCTCTTCATATAAGGTTTAGATTAACCTTGTCTATATCTACAAAACATCCTGTAGAGATTTTCATAGAAAATACTTTAAAGCTGTCAATTGTCCCCAAATTGACAATTCCTCAATTTGTTCCTCCAATCCCTGAAAAGAGACTATCTCTCCATCCATTTAGATATGTTTTGATATCTTTTATCAGTGTTTTGGGGTTTGCAGCATACAATTCCTATACATGTTTTGTTAGATTTACACTTAGTATTTCTTTTTTTTTTTTTTGTGATTGTAAGTGGTATTGTATTTTTAATTTCACTTTCCACATGTTCATTGTTAGTATATAGAAGTACAATTGATTTTTATATGATCTTGTATCCTGAGACCTTGCTGAACTCACTTATTAGTTCTAGTTTATTTGTAGATTCCTTGGAATTTTCTAGTAGACCATCATGTCATCTGCAATAGGGACCATTCTGTTTCTTCTTTTCTGATCTGTATGCCTTTTATTTCTTTTTCTTGCCTTATTGCTCTGGCTAATTCTTCCAGTACTGTATTTAACAGTAGTGGTGAGAGTGAACATCCTTGCCTTATTCCGGATCTTAGGGGGAAAGCATCCATTCATTTTTATACTTTTAGCTTAATTTTTTTCAAGGCAAAAATCAAATCGAGCCCTTTTCCCCTCATTGTGCACTATTTGCTGTGAAATTTTTCTGTTTTTAAGTAGGTTTTAAAAAGGTCTTCTCCTGATACCAACTTGCCTTGGAAAAGGAGGGCCCTTTTGCTGTATACCTGTCCTGTCTTCTCTCCTCATTTTCCCGGCTGTTTTTCAGGGGCGTGGACTTGGACGCCCCCTAGTGGCTTCATGGAGCCGCGTCCCCTCTGGCCCCCTGCAGAGAAGTGCGTGGGGCCCAGCGACCACTCCATCCTCCTTTCCCTATCCCTACGAGGCTGACCCCCTGTCCTCCTGGTGTCTGCAGACGGTGGTCTCGGGCCCCTCGCCGGGCCAGGTGGTGGCGCCGGTGTCCGGGAACAGCCTGGGCGCGCGGCGTGCGGAGATCAAGCCCGGGGTGCGCGAGATCCACCTGTGCAAGGACGAGCGTGGCAAGACCGGGCTGCGGCTGCGGGCCATCGACCAGGTGGGGCTGGGGGCCGGGCGGGAGAAGAGGAGCCCCTCGGAGGGCGAGGGCACGTGCTGGACAGCGCCACCCCGCAGCCCCAGCTGCCCTGCGCTGCCCCGCGCTGCCCCGCGCGCTTCCCGGGCTTTGGCCGCATCGCCCGCCCACCAGCCCGAGACGCGGCGGCGCGGGGCACGACCACACTAAGGAGGATGCGGAGCGGTCATGGGAGCCGAGGCCCTCCTAACCCTCACGCCCAGGCTCTTCCTCTCAATCCGCCTGCCCCAAGACCCCAGGGCCGGCTCTGGGTTTCAGCAAGGACCCTCCCCTGCCCCTCCGTGGGCTCCTGTGGCTGGGAGCCTCCCTCACCCTCCTCCCCCCCAGCTCACAGGGATCTGGCTGCCAGGCGGCTGTCTGTATACAGTGGAAGCCCGGATGCCAATGCCATTGTGAGAGGCTGCAGTCCACAAGGCGGGGCTGCAGCCTCCAGCCAGGGTTGAAATCCTGACTGCTGCTTCCTAGCTGTGTGGCCTGGAGTGTTTCCTCCCTAGGAAAGTAGGGTAACCGTTGTACCAGCCACAGAGCTCTGGTCCCGGTTCCCTGTCCGCTCCCAGAGGATCAGGAGGAAAACAGCTTGGAGGAGGGCCCTGGGCTTGGGTTGGGCCGGGGAGCTGACTGTGGGCCCTGCCTCCCACAGGGGCTCTTTGTGCAGCTGGTCCAGGCCAACACCCCCGCATCCCTCGTGGGGCTGCGCTTTGGGGACCAGATCCTGCAGATTGACGGGCGTGACTGTGCTGGGTGGAGCACCGACAAGGCCCATCGGGTGGTGAAGAAGGCAGCGGCGGAGAAGATCGTCATGGTTGTTCGGGACAGGTGAGTGAGTAGCCAGCCCCAGGAGGCTCTTCTCTGCCCCCAGCCACGTCCCAGGCCCAGCTCACTGTCTGCCCCGCCAGGCCGTTCCAGCGGACCATCACCTTGCACAAGGACAGCACGGGCCTCGTTGGCTTTGTCATCAAGAAGGGGAAGGTCGTCTCTGTGGTCAAAGGGAGTTCCGCGGCCCGCAACGGGCTCCTCACCAACCACTCCGTGTGCGAGGTGAACGGGCAGAACGTCATTGGGCTGAAGGTAGGCCGGCGCCCGCGCCCTGCCCCAGGACCTTCAGGGGCTGGGGGACCGCTGGGTGGTGGGAAGGTGGTCTGTGGGCAGCTGTAGACCCATCCGAGCCTGTTTCCTCGTCCTAAGGTTGCTGTGAGAATTCACTAAGACGAGGTACGTAGAGCTCCGAGCACAGTGCCAGCACACAGTGGGTGCTCAGTAAACATTAGCTACTGTTACTAACACGTGGAGGCCAGAGGTGTGGCAGATGGCATGTGTAAGGACCTGGCGCCCAGGGGGCTGCTGGCTGCATGGATACCTCCCCGCTCTGTGTGGCACCTCTGTTTGATACTGGGTCATGTTCCACAGTAGGAATATTTTAGAAAATTGTTATTCAGAAATCCGTTTCTGACCTCTATTCATTTGTTGAGGGTGTGTGTGCATGTTTTAAAGTTTTATCTTCAAAAAACAAGAAGGAGCACGTGGTCCAGGGTCAGCGCTGTGGATGTGGACTGAGAGTGGCTGCCTTGGGGAATGGCCCATGGAGGATGATGAGTCTCATGGCTGTTGGTCCCCGAACAAGTGAAAGTGGTTTTGTCCTGACTTGATGCCACGTGGACCGGGAGTGGTTCTTAATCCCAGTTGTGGTTTAGAGTGAAGGTTCGTTCCCTCCTGCAGCCAGGGCTTTGGGGCTCACGTGGCAGGGCGCCCCCGGCAGAATGGCCTGGGCAGTGGCTTCTCACTCTGCAGCTGGCACAGTCTTTTAGGCCAGTTTTCCACCCTCACAAGGGCCATCACCAAGCGATTCCTGTCACATGTCTGCTTCCCTGTGCTTGGCAGCCTCCCCACCTTCCTTGGAGGCTTGCTCTGGTGGCTCATGAGCATTGTGATCAGGAATGTCTTCCTAATGACTGTCTAAGATCCCTCCTGCTGCATCCCTCCCCTCCCTCTGGAATCAGACATGACAATCCGAAGGGAACCCATTATATCTAGGAAGTCGACTACACTAATACCAATTCTTAGTAGCTGGCTCTTTTGGATATTAGTGAATTCCAAAGCATTACAGTTCTTTGATCTTAACTATCCTGGAAAGCAGTCCTTCTAAATGTGCTGCGCATTCTCTCATCCTCCCGGATGGCTCAAGGCTTCGCTATGAACTTATCAGTTATCCTGCCAAGCCATGGTGGTGGGAGGCTCTTGGGACTGGCTTTGTCCCTTTTCTGAATGGCTCCAGACAGCTATGCATCTTGAGATCATTTATCTTTTCAGTTTATCTATTTCCACATCTATCTGTGGCCATCACTAGTCCCATCTAGCACATCTTCTCCTGTTTATCCTGGAACCACTCAGAAAACGTGCAGCCAGGTGAGAGATGTGTATAAAGGTCCCTGGTCCCTGCGTGAGGACTAGAGGCTCTTCTAATCACCGCGGCTTTAGCGTTGGACCGTTTGGCACACTTTGCTTAGAGACTTTTCGTTGCTTGTTCTCCTCATGGTCTGAATGGATGGCATCCACAGGCCTGTTTCTTTTTATTGGTCAACAAGATGTGAGAGCTTTGAGGTCCCCTGTGGGCTCAGCTCAGGCTGGCTGGCCGACACGAGCCCAGCGGGTGGGTGGGTGGGCCTCATGTCCCTCCTGCATGGTTATCCTCTTTGTGCTTTGGGGCCAGAACCCGAGTGTGACTGGGGCTGGGGAGATGGGATAGAAGACGTGGGCTGTGCGACTCCAGGAGCTCTTCGGGGGAAGGGAAGGAGAGTAGCGTTTATGAGGCCCTGTTGTGTGTCAGGCCCACTTGACAGCCCTCCGGGTGAGGCGGGGAGTGGGGTGCTCATTTTACCGAGGAGATCCTCAGGTGGGAGGCCCACGATCTTGCTCAAGCAAGGCCTCACCTGGGTGTCTGCCTGGGACCCTCACCTGATGGAGAGCCCTGCCCCTGCTGTCGGGTGTCAGCAGTGTCCTCTAGCAGGGGCCATGCTGAACCCTTGGACAGAGGTGCCCGCAGAGTTGCCCCTGGCCCCCAGGGTGACCATTCACTTGCCTTCTCTCCAGGACAAAGAGGTCACGGAGATTCTGGCCAAGGCTGGGAATGTTGTCACCCTGACCATCATCCCCACGGTGATCTACGAGCACATGGTCAAAAAGTAAGGCCGCCCCCTCCTGCCTTCCCTTCACCCCCCTCAGCTCCCTCCAGGCTTATGTGGGGCACACACCAGCTTGCTCTCCCCTCCTGCCTTCAAGAGGGCTGGTGGCTTCTGGTGATTTGAGCCCTAGAAATGGGAGTGAAGGCCCACATGGGATGCACAGGCTGGGGGGCAGTGGGGGAGAAGGTGCTGCTAGTTTGGGCCACTGTCGCTGTTGCTGCATCTAGGTTGTCCCCGACCCTGCTCCACCACACCATGGACCACTCCATCCCAGATGTCTAAAGCCACAGGAGGGCAGCTCAGCCCTCCGCCCTTCTGCAGGAAGGGGCAGAGTCCTCAGACGGGTTGCAGAGGCCTGCTGCCTGGGGGCGTGTTCCCGTTGGGGCGACATCGGATCACGTGGGCCTTATTCATACACAGGCCTCCTGAAGCCTCAGACTCTCAACTGGGCTCGGGCCCGGGCAGGGCCCCAGGCAGCCGGGTCTGTGCCAGTTTAAATGCTGGGCACGTAGGCAGGCCCGCTAAACGCTTCTTAAAGTTGTAGTGGGGTCCCTTTCAAGATTTTGCCACTGCCAGAAAAATAGTTCCGTGTTTTAAGAGAACAGAAATACAATCTTTGTGAAAATTGTTTCTTTTTCTTTTACTTGCTCTTTGTCACAAACTGTATATAGTTGTAATTCTTCACTTCTTTTGAATAAAGATTTGATTTTAAATAAAATCCTTTCCTCAAAAGTTATTGAAAATTCCAGAGGCCTTGGTCCCACGACATGTCCAGGGCTGGTTATCTTTTAAGCGGTGGGAGACCAAGGCCTTCTCTGCGCCTTGCCTCTGAGAACAGTGATTTGGCTCTGCCACCGTCACATGCCGCCTGCCAGGCTGAGCGGGGACAGCGTGGGATTCTGGTAGAGGGGCCCTGGCTTGGGTGCACTCCCTGCTCAGCAACTGTGTCCTGCTTCTGCACCTGGAGAATGAGAGTGAGAACCAGCCCAGGGTACTACAGAGGACGGGATGTGATGTGCTGACAGGGCCCAGCGGGTCTGACACTCGGTGGGGGCGGGGGGGGCGGCGGCGGGGGAGGTGCTTCTAGATCCTTTGCCTGACCCCCAGGATGGAAGTGACCCCAGCTGCCCGCAGCAGATGTGTGGTAGACCTAAACCAGCACGTGGCAAGCTGGTTCCCTCGACCTTGGAAAGGATCTCCGCCCGCGCGGCTTTTCCAGTGCGCACGTTGTGACCCCCATGCTGGCGGGGACAGATAGAGCCCCCTTCACGCCCTCAGAAAAAGACACAATATAAAGAAGACAGGCCAAGGGTCTTGCTGTGTTTTCATGCTTTAATTCAGAGCTGTCTGCTGCAGGTATGACCCTGTATGAACAAAAGGACAGAGGAGACGAAAGTGAAGACCCCGCCCCACCTCCCCCCTTCCCGTGTCCCCTGAATTCTCTGTCGAGGGGATGGCCGAATATGAGTGCACTGTGACTCGTGTGCACTGTCCCCCTAGATCAGAGAGGGGTCATAATTCACCGGGCAGAGGCCCCTCAGTAGGCCTTGGCCCCAGAACCTGGTTATTCGTCCACTCTGCCCCAAGGTGCTGTCCGATACCCCCGTGCTAGTGGCAACTGGGAAGCGTGTTCAGTGAGAAGCTAAGTTATACCCTTGGAGATATTTGGACTAAACTCCACTCAAGGCCAGCTCTCTGTGCAGAGTCCCAGCCCCCGCCTCGGATTCCTGCCTGAGCCTGGACCAGAGGAGCAGTAGGGCCCCTCTGGCCCGGGCCCTACAACTCAGGAGAAGCCACTTCCGGCCGCTGGGCTCCAAGGGACCAGCAGCTCCGGAAGGTGGTTCCTGGAAACATGGTCCTTAGGTCCTAATCGGCTCCGGCTGGAGGCTGGGGAGAGGGGAGCCCCAAAGATTTCCGCTCCAGACGCCGAGGGTGGGAGGGAAGGTCACAGCCCAACAGGAGGAGGTGTTAAGCAGGAAGGAAAAGGGGAGCTTGGAGGAGGAGCTCTTGACGGGTGCCCCGGTCCCTGGCCTCGCCCGGCAGCCCCACGTTCTGGGCCCTGCAGTCAGGGCCCGAAGCCTGAGCCCGCAGGCTGCCGCCTCCGCCACCTGCAGCCGCACCAGCAGCTTTTGCATGGATGCAGATACTGAGCACACACATGGACACACGCAGGGGCTGGGTGGGGCTACCAGCCACCACAGTCCCCAGGTCTGGGGCGGTGAGCTGCCTCCTCCACTGACAAAAAGAAGCTTGTCGAAGGCCCCATCAGACCCCCCAAAAAGAAGACCCTCAACACTGTGGACTAGGGCCCCTTGACCCAGACGGGCAGGTCTCGGGCCGGAGCAGGAATAGAGGGTGGCCGCCGGCCCCACTTGCCTCGTCTACAGGCGTCTGGTCCAAGCCCAGTCTAGCCCTTCACAAGTGCCTTCTCCAGCAGCAGGGACAGAGTGGACTACAGCCCCAGCCCTGACCATGTCCACCAAAACACAAGACACAACAGGGAGGCCACCGACAGCAAGACATGGACAGGAGCAGAGGGGATACGCAGCTTGACTAAATTCCAGTGGTGAAAAATATATAGATTTTATGTTGTCAAATATAGTCATACATTTATTTTCTCAGCAAAGCTTTGACTGTTTCTAAGAAGATGCTATGCAGCTCCGTGAGTACATAGCACAGGAGGCTGGGTCCGCGGCCAGTCCCCGCTTGGCTTTGGATTGGGCTGGTCCACTGCCACTCCATGTCACGACCTTAGTTCTGTGGGGCAGCCCAGCCAGGCCCCAGGAGTTCGGGTTTGGTTCAGCTGGGGCACGAGGTGCTCCACAAAGGATGGCTGGTCGGAGGCCCCGACCGAGGTGTGGGGAGCTTTGGAGGCACAAAGCGCGTGGCAGAGGGGCTGTTGCCCCGATGGCTGGGCTGGCCTCCCACTCCCAGTGCATGCAGGTGTCGCCCCTCGAGTGGAGGGCACAGAGAGGAAGGGCAGAGCCCACGAGTCAGGCAGCAGCTGTGGGAGCAGTGGGAGTGGGCAAGCAACCTTGGCAGAGAACCAGTGGCCCCTAGGCCAGAGGCGTCACTAAGACACAGGGTCTTGCCCACCCCTTCAATGTGGGGCCGAACTCTGAAGAGTGGGTGCAATGACCAGATGGGTGTGAGCGCTGCAGGAGAAGAGGAATGGGTTTACTTTGTAAAATAACAATGGAAATAAAATGTCAGCAGCTTTGCTGGGGGTCCCAGATGCCGTCCTGGGGAAGGAGGGGGACAGTGAGCCTTCCCAAGCCCACTGGGCTCGGGCTGGGAGCAGGAGGCTGCAGGGCTCCCGCCAGCCCCACCCCAGCCTGGGAAACATCCCAGGGCATCCCGCTTTGGCCTGGACAAACATCATGGCTTCAATACCCCATCTTGCCATTCATCCTCTCAGAAGTCCCCCCAGAGGCAGAGAGGCCTAAGATTTGGGATCCCTCACCCTGGAAAGCAAGCAGCCACCTCACAGGAGATCCTGGGATGCGTGAGAACCAGGCTCCCAAGTGAACATAGTGCAAAGCAGAAGTGGGTCCTGGGGCCCCCAGAGTAGCTTGCGGGGAGCTCTCCAGGGGCAGTCATGGCCTCTGGCTTTTCAAACCAGCTTAGGATCGCTGAGTCCGGCCCTGCCTCGCAGAGGCAAGGCCTCATCTCAGACGGCTGGAGGAGCGCCACCCCCCCATCTGCCAGCCCCCGCCTCCTCTTCTCGTGCTGGCAGAGTATGCAGGTGGGAGCTGGGGCCCAGGCGAGCGCTCCTAGCCCAGCACCAAGCCCGTCTGGCTCAGCTCTCACAGGAGGAATTATCAGACACACCCAGAAGCGCCAAGAGGAAACCGGATCGTGGGGAAGGTCTGGGACAAGCAGACAAGACACGGAACCCACACTGCCCTGTGCCACCCCTTGCCCATCATCGTCTTTCCTCAGGTCCATGGCCTTGACTGTGCTTCTGAATCCCAGAGTGGGGAGCAGCCTGAGGAGGCTGGAGCTTCAAGCCCAGACCAAGTGGTTCCAGACCCTGTTCGGAGTCCGGGCCAGGTGCCCACACTTCGGGCTGCAGCTGCCTCCATCTGAGGAGATGGTACCTGCCCAGAAGCCTGGGCCGAGGGCAAGGGGTGGCTTGGGAGAGAGGGCCTGGAGTGAGCAGGGAACTGGACAGGACGTAGCGGGTGAGGGAGGCTCTGAAGGGCAACGCAGCCCAGCCTCCCCGGAACAACACACCAGAGACTTCCTGAGCAGGGGCTGCCCTGTGGGAAGGGCCAGGTGGACAGGGGCCGGGCTGGGGGACTCACCACCTTCTCTCTCTGCCAGTTGTCCAATCAGCGGCCTCCCCGCCCTTGGTCTCTCTTCCCTTGTCTCCTGTCGAAGTGCTGGGATGCCATCCCCCAACCCCTACTCCCAGCCCCCTGACACTGTTAACACCCCGGAAAAAACACTTCCAAACCCAAAACTAAATAAATAAGATGATGCCCCACGGGAATGTGTGCGAGGGAGGACGGCACCCCTACAATCAGCGGTCAGGCCGCCCGGGCCGCTGGCCGGGCGGGGCCTCCTCAGAGCTGGGAGGCGCCGGCCTCGCTCAGGCTCTGCTGGCCCAGCGAGCGGCAGCTGATCCTGCGGATGGAGTGCAAGGCCACAGTGCAGCAGCCCCGCAGCAGGGAGCTGATGTTGTAGATGGGCTGGCCCTGGCGCCGCTGGGTGCGGCAGAGCCAGGCCACCGTGGGCACGGCCGGCACCACCACGGCCAGCAGATCCACGATGTAGTGGCGGCTCCAGTAGCTCTTGGGCTCCTTCTCGGCTGCGGCTGCTTCCTCCTCCTCTTCCACGGGGCACGCCACGCTCACCGATGGGTTGGGGTTGGCACCAGGCCGGTGTGGGGTCGGCCCTTGGGTGATGGGCTCCGGGCCATCAAGCTCGTCACCCACCGTCACCACCACTGCTGAGTCGGGGTCTCTGGGCCCCAGGGGGTGGGGATCCAGCTCCAGGCACCTGTCCCCCGACTCGGGGACTGTGCCACAGACCTGGGCCTTGGTCACTTTCTCCAGGATGGTGTCCAGGTCAGGCTGGTACTGCACGAAGTCCGTCTGGATGGCACGCTCCTGCATGCAGCTGGCCTGCATGCCGGCCTCCATGCCACACAGCAGCTTCTCGTAGGTGTTGCTGGCGGGGAAGCGGGGGCCCAGGCCGAAGGAGCTGTGCAGTGAGGCCTCCTCAGGGCCACAGTCCACCCCTGATGACAGCAGGCTGCTGCCCTCCAGCGCGTCCGTCCGGCTCAGGGTGTCATCGGTTGCCACGAAGCCACTGTCAGCCCCGTCCTCGGCGGAGGTGCCGGCGTGGTCGCCAGGGGGCCGGTCGCCGCAGACGGCTGGGTCGCTCAGCTTGGTGTAGGTGGAGCTGCGGGTGAGGGAGCGCGCGGGGGAGCCGCCCGCCGACTCCCCGTCCTCCTTGGCCAGGCCGTTCTGGGCCACCTCCATGCTGTGCAGCAGCGTCTCCAGCTTCTTGTTCTGGATGTTGATGTCCACGAAGTACTTCTGCAGCCCCTTGTCCTTGTCGATCAGGCTGTTCTTGACGGTGTCGATAACCTGCTTGAGCTGCTTGATCTCCTTGCGGGCCTCCTTCAAGGCCAGCTGTGCTTCCACCCGGTGGCACTCCTCCTCGATCCAGTCCTCCTGCATGCGCGACAGCTGTGTCTTCAGGTCATCGATCTCTGTGTCCCTGCGGGCAGAGGAGACACCCACGCTCACTGCCTGGCCTGTCACCACCACCAAGGACAGGCAAGGGGGGGCTGTCACCACGGACAGAGGGCCTGTGCCGCTGCCGCTCAGAGCTAAAAACAGGAGGAAGGACTCAACGTCCTCCCTTTGTCTCTTTATTCCCGAGGGGAGCGGCGGGGCAGGGGGGCCCGGGAAGGAGAGGCCTCCTCAGGGTTGTGGGGAAGAGATGGCGACAAGAAACCCACCGCATTCCCACCACCGGGGCCGGGATACAGACGACTGTCCACACTGAAATCTATGACCTACAGAAGAGACTGGACAATAACAATTCTCAATTTACAAATGCTACTGCTATAAAAACCTAATACATCCATTTTAAAATCTTAACATAAAACAACAAAAACTAAACCTAAAATCTCTGCTCTATAGAAGGGAATATGGCCTCCTACTAAAGCCGGCTGTGGAAATTTTAAATGGAGGGGTATTTGTCCAGAGAGCCCCGGGGGAGAGGATGGATCACTTTGTTTTTATGAGAGAAATTACTGCCTTCAATGTTGGGGGGAAGCTGATAATTTCATATCTTCCCTCAAGTCGGGGGATGGGAAGAGGTGGATGAATCAGAGGAGAATGATGAAAACAGGGTGTCTCTGTTTCATCCATGCTACATGTTTGTTCTCTGTATCTATCGTAAATAGGAAAGGCTGAAAAGATGGATGGAAAAGACAGAGTTCCTCCTGAGAGGAGAGGTGAGTGCAGGCAGGGCAGACAGAAGACTTGTCCAGAAACCCTCAGGCTTTTTAAATCCCTGAGTCATAGATGAATCTGGGAGGGCACAGGGGAGGGAGGCAAGTTAGAAAAACAAGCCATCAAGGCCAGAGGTAAACTCAGGGCAAGACTGGACAGGACGGACTATAAGCAGGGAGAAAGGAGGAAAATCATTCAGGAGACTGAAGATGCTGCCCCGGGTGTCCCTCGTCCCGCACATTCTTAGTGACACGGCCCACACACAGCCACTCAGCCCAAACCCTGCGTTCCCATAAATACAATCCACAAATGGCATGACTGTCACTTTGGGGCTTATGAGCCAGGCAGAGTGACCATCCCAGATCAAGCACCCCGTACTTTTCAGTCAGATTGGAAATTCAGTTCAGGAAATGGGCCCAGGAACCTCATGCCACAATATGCTGAAGAGGCTGCAGTGGCCACAAAGGTCAGCCATGGCATCATCTGGAAGGGGATGGACTGTCCAACAGGACACAGCTGAGGGATGGCAGTGGGATGGCCCCAGGGACCAAAGTTGCTCAGAGCGGCAATAACAGACATGCCAACAGGTATGGGGGATACCTGTTCTTCACTTCTCCTGCCTCATGGTGGGGGCTCTCCTGCCTCTCTCCCTGCTCCTCACTGATGCCGAGCCCTGGGAGGAAGCATGAGTTTGGAACAAGGAGCTGGGCATGCCCAGCTCGGCTGCTCCCGCCCCATCTCCTTGGAGCCAGCAGGCCCCCAGGGAGCTATGGCTTCCAGCCCTGTCCAGGTCTCAGTGGGCTGCAGGACACGATATTTGAGCTGGGTCTTGAAGGATGTTTGTCAAGGCAGCAAGATGGGGGAAAGGGCATCTCAGGAAGTGGGGACCCAGCATACGAAGGCACAGAGTGTAGATGCATCTCTGAGGAGCAGGCAGGCTCCTCCCCTGTGGGGATGGCGGTATCAAAGGGAATGTCCAGAGAGTGTGTGCAGTGTGACCACACGGCCAGTAAAGACCTGCCACAGGTTCCTGCGAGAGTGACAGGCAGGCAGAGAGTGGCCAGGGACTTGAGGTGTGGGCGAATCCACGACAGGGCACCCGCCCAAACCACACAGGCAGACGGTCGGCTCCGAGCCGCCGGGCCAGCCCTCGAAAGGAAGCTGGGAGATGGGTCGTCTGCTTCCTGAGGACTTTAGTGCAAAAGGCCAAGCAGACCCAGGGCACCTCCAAGATGATGGAAAATAAAAATAGACATCCCAGCTCTACAGACTAGGAGCCTCACAGAATGCCACCTGCAGCCTTCCGCAGTTCAAAACCACAACAAATTCAAACTGGATTGGCTACTTGGCAGGGCTCTGGTCAAGGAAGATGTGGCCACGGATACTGAATGCTTCCATTTATAGGCAATGTCCAGAGAACAGACACATCCATAGAGACAGAAGGATTAGTGGTTGCCAGGGACCGGGGTGGTTGAGGCATCACTGCTACTGGGAACGGGGTTTCTTTGTGGGGGGATGAAAATGTTCTAGAATTAGATACTGGTGAGGGTTGCTCAATTCTGTGAATAGAATAAAAATTATCAAATTGTGCGGTATGTGAATTACATCTCAATAAAGCTGTTATATATAAAAAAAATAGAAAAGATAGGAAGACGTGGCCGTGGAGGCCTGCCTGACCTCCAGTGCCTTGCACAGCACCTTGTCCAGCTCACAGTCGGCTGCGTATTTGAATGAGCCTGGAGAAGATGGTTAAGATGATGAAGAGATCAGAGGGCAGCCCCGAAGCTTCGACCATGAAGACAAAGCCGCCAGCCTGGAAAGGCAGAGGCTGGGAGGGTCAGGATTGGTCCTCAGGTCTGGAGAATGCACTCAGACAGGCCTGCGGGGCCTCCTGGGGGACCCCTGGGTGGGGCAGGAGCTCAGAGAAAGGTTCCCCATGATTGGACACCATCTGTAAGTAGATGAGGGGGAAGGCTTCCGGGGCCTGAACTGCGGGCCAAGAGCCCCCAGTGACTCCCTGGGAGGAAGCAAAGGAGGACCAAAGACTTTGTCCCCACAGAGAAGGTACGCCAGGAAGAATGCCCTGTGCTCCTTCCCCCGAGTGGAAAGGAGCCAGCGGGTAAGGAGTGACTCAAAGGGGATGCCAGGCTAAAACGGGAGGGCACTGCGGGGGGGAGGTCCGAAGGCCCTCACGGGGACGTGCTCTGGGCCTGGCCCCAAGCAGCCGTCCTGCGTAGTCAAGGAGAGCCACTGAGGGGAGGACAGGGATGGGCTGGGGCTCGAGAAGTGGGCTCAAATGGGGCTTTGCTGGGAGGTGCCTGCAGCCCCTCCTTCCTCCTCGAGAGGCCCCAGGTCCTGGTTCCTCTGAATGAGGAGCTAACGGTGTGTCCCAGGGCTGCCCAGGGCCGTCCCTGGCCGCCCGCTCACCGGTCCTGGAGCCGGTCCTGCGTGTCCTTCAGCCGGGCCTTCAGGTGCCGGATGCACACCTCCTTCTGCTGCAGTGGCGTCAGGTACTGCTCCGGGGTGGGCGGCTTGATGCCATGGTTGTCGCTGCACAGAGTGTACTTCATGGAGCGCCTGCAAGGGAACGCTCGTCACGGGGGAGAGAGGAAGGGGCTGGCCAGGCACAGGCCCTGCGCCTCCAGGGAGCAAGGGGACGCCAGCCTAAGAGTCCTGGTCCCACAGCCACCAGAGGGTTCCAGGCCAGGCCTCCCCCACAGGGCCTGTGTGGGCACGAGAACACCAGCCCTTCTGGAAGGCAGGTTTTACCACAGGTCTTCTGCATGAGGACCACAGCATCAGGGTGGGGAGCTCAGGGCTCCTCCAGCCAGGGTGGGAGACATATTACAGAGCACGTGCACAAGCCTGGCACCATGCCAAGCACTCCACTGACACTGCCTCTGTCAATCCAGTCCCAGTGGTACATCCCAGTCTCAGGCATCCAGTCTCCCAAACCAGAGACTGAGTTTGGGGACTGGTAGGTGGGAGAGGCCACCCTCTCCCCGTAATTCTCCCAGGGCTCGCATGGGGGGTCTGCATGGTGACAAGGACTCTCCCCTGTGCAGGAGGAAGCACCCCCCCAGAGCTGAGAGTCCTCACAGCCTGGTCTGCAGAACCACGACGGGGAACAGGGAGGGCAGACACATGTGTGCAGGCACAGCTGTCTCCATACACACTCTGACGTCCTCCTCGCCCGTCCCAACGTACACGTGGCCTTGCACCACATGCACACACACTCACTTGGAGTGCACATCTGAGTACACTGATTCCCGGTCCATTCATGCCTGCAGGCCCACATACGTGTACACACACCAGTGCCCGCACATCCCCACCATCTTGCTGCTGCCCTCAGGGGCAGTCACAAGTACTAGGACACCAGCCCATGCACACTGTTCACACAAACACACGCAGACCCTTTCCATCTGCGTGTACACATGGGCACTCTGGGGGCGCACGTGAGCACATTGTGTGAACACTCACTGGCTCTGGGCATCGACGCACTAAGAGCTGCACCCTGAGGTGGCGGCAGGCTGTACGTGCACTGCTCCCGGCAGCCACATGCTCTCCAGCACCGGGTGGCACAGGCATGCACGTGTGGTGAGCACGCCCTGGTCCCGTCCCACCAGTGCGAGGAGGAAGAATTCCCACTCAGCGGAGGAGGGAGGGCCAAGGCTTTCAGCCAGCTCCACCCACAGACCACAGCCTGGCCTCCTCAACTCCCAGCTTCCTGCCTATGGGCTATTCTGTTCATAAAAGAACCCGAGATCTTGGCTTAAAAACCTGGGCACGTCCTCACACAACTTGGCAGAGGCGTTGTTGCCACCCAACTCTGCTCCTTTAGGGGATGGGGACCCCCAGGTCTAGGGAGGGGCAATGACATTTTACGGGCCTGGAAAAGACAGGCCCTGGTGAGGCTCATTTGCAGAAGCACCCAAGTAGGAGGCAGTATTAAAAGTGTTGTGAAAGCTGTCTCAAGTTTATTGTGGAAAACGTATTTGTAAATTGTAAACTGTTGAAGAGAAAGTGGCAACAGAAGTGGAGAGAAAGAGAAATGATTCTCTTCTACTTATCGCCTCCCAGTCCCCGTGTTCAACTCAAGTCAAGTCACAGGCAGGCCTGTTTTCCATGAGGCAAGGGGCAGAGGAGTGGCGTGGGTTGGAGCTTAGGGATTCCTACACAATCCTTCCAACAGAGAAGCCAGCCAGCGAGGGTGTGGACCTCAGATCACCCTGAAGCCCCAGCACTAGTCCTGCAGACACCCTGTACCCTGCCAGGACTTCGGCAGAGGGGCACCGACCTGCGGTCAGTAAGAAGAGGTCTTTTCCCCTTGCCTGGAGGTGGACGAACTAGGACTGGCTAAACTAGTAAGAGTTGAGGATTAGAGAGAAGTAACTATTTTAACTTTTTCTCTTTGCTTTCTTGAGTGTTTCTTCCCAACATAACACTTAACACTCACACATTTTTTGTCACTAGCTGTATCTTTGTTGGAAAAAAAAATATATATATATATCTATATAAATAATAAGAAAAATACACTATAATTCATGTCTCTCAACTATTCCTGCCTTGGAAGGCCTGGCTATCTGCAGTGAGGCCACAGCTGAGGCCCCAGCGCCCACCTGGCAGCAGCACCTCTCATGGTGGGCAAGAAGAAGACCCTTCCATGGAAGCGGTTCTCCGCCTCAGGGTTGGGACTGCCCCTGAGGGCGGCAGTTATGACATGCATTACAAAAATCTGCTAGTAATGAAAAAGTATTAAAGTCGCCAATTATACACTTTTCAAAGCATAAGTCAATGCATCAGTCTCACTCACACCCCCAGGTTCTGGAGTGGAGTTACGGCCAGGAGGCTGGGGTATGCTCCCGCACACGCGTGTCACCCATCATGCGTGTCTTGGTGGAAAACTCTGAGAGCTGCTGCCTCAGCGTGATCTGACATCACTTCATACACCTGACACCCTCCCTGCTGGAAGGGGCAAGACGGGCCTCCCCAGGAGGTGCTCTGCGCCGGGGAGCTGCAGGCCAGTCTCCGGGCCTCTCCCGCCTACACTCTCGAGTCTTAATGATGGCAGTTATGATACAGGCCACCTGCAGTGTACAGCAGGGCACAGATATCAACTCCCCAAAGCCTCTGGGTTGTCGCTCCATTTTACAGATAAGGGAATGGAGACTCAGACGGGAAGTGACTGAACCCCAAGCCCACATACCCCTACCTCCACTTGTATTTCAGTGCTGGGGAAACAGAGTGGGGTACCACCATTACAGATCTTACTTCCCAGTCTTTGAGGACCCTCGGCTCCCCTTTATCTGTCTTCCCAACCCGGATCCTGCTTTTCTTCTTCAGTCTCGGTCGCCTTTCCTGAGAGCACAACTTAGCACAGGCCGCATCTGTAACACGTTTCGCTTTCTAAACCATCCCCACCTCTGCAACCCTCAGTGTCCCCCTGAGAAGAGCAAGATGGCAGACGCCACGAGTTGCCTTCCGATACCCATTCTTGCCTTTTTCCCAATGGAACTCCAGTTTCGTCTGAGGTGGCACTGTACAGGGGAGAACACAAATTCTCCCTGCACCACCTGGTCCCACAGCCAGAGTCAGGCACTTCACCCAGTTCCAGCCAACCAGGTGTAGACAGAACTCCCTGGGGAAGGTGTCCCTTCTCAGAAACATGAGCCTCCGGTGGGGGGGCTTTGGCCTTTCTACCTTCTTCCTTCCTGGACACCAACCTGATGCCTGGAGGTGCAGGAGCTGTCTTGTAATGACGAGGACAGAAGCTGCACATCAAGGCTGGTAGAGCAGGAAGACAGGAGACGGGGTTCCTGACACTTCAGGGAGCTCCCTGCCTCTGGCCCCTTGCTCTGAAAGCATTCCCCCTAGTTTGTCTAAGCCACTATATCTGGTCCTGTGCAGCTGGTGTTATCACATCCACCTTAGACAGGAACTGAGGCTCAGAGAGAAGACCTGCTCCAGGTCGCACAGCCAGTGAGTGTGCGGGAATCAGGACAGTTAGAACACCCACCTTCCCGCACGCCCCAGGGCGCCCAGGTTCCCAGCCAGCTGGGCTGGGCTGGGTGGAGGGGAGGGGCTGGTTACCTGGGTGTGGGGCTGCTGTCACTGCCCTTGTAGGAGCCCGAGTTGCTGCTGCTGCTGAGAGAAGAGGTGCCGTAGGCATCCCGCACGCTCACGGGCGGAGAGGTGCGCCTGGAGGCGGGAAGAAGAGGCAGGTGCTCATTCTGGCTGGTGGGCAGCTGCGGACACTGGGCGAACACCGCCAGGCCGCTGCGGCCCAAAGGGCCCCCACTTCGGGGTCACCGCCGGGGAGAGAAGCAGAAGGGAGAGGGGGACGCACAGACAGGGGTGACAGAACAGACAGTGCAAATCAAGATGGAAAACCAGAAGGAGGCTGGTCTTCCTGGTTCCCCAGGACAAGAATGGAGGCTGGGCGGGACTGCGGGCGAAGGGTGGGGCCCCACCTGCCCTTACCAAGGGTCCTCAACTTCCAGGGTCCCCACGCCCAGAGGAGGAACTCCCTGCACAGACTAAGACAGACGTGGAGAAGACTGGGGCAGGCAGGAGGAGGGACAGGAGGCGGGGCACACAGGGGTGAAAGTCAGGAGAGGCCGAGTGAGCCTCAGCGGAAGACTGCGCGACATCCTCCAGTAATTGTGAAGGCCACACAACAACACTGATGATGGCGGGGATCCAATGGGTTAACTCTTCAGAGGACTTTCATATCCACCATGTCATTTGAGCCCTTAAACAGTTCCAGGAGCAGGCGAGCGCCAGCAAGCAATTTTAAAAATGGGAACACTGGGGAAAAGACTTGCTCAAAAACATACTGCAAGTCAGTGGCAGAGTAGGGACAGAGACTCTCTCTCCTCCCGCCCTCTGAGGCCAAGGTTCTGGGCAAGGGGGAGACTCACCTGCGGGATCCAGCAGAGGCCCGTCTACTGCCTGGCAGGGACATGGCCATGAGGCTGCGGGTCCGGGTGAGGGGCGAGATGGTTGGTGTCCCCGGGGCTGAGGAGAGAGGCCGCATTGGGGGGGCCGTGGGGAGGGCCGGACCGGGCCACGTCATCCTCTCGCTGGGGCCGCTGCCCAGCATGGCTTCTCCTCTTGCCCTTCAGCAGGACACCCCAGGACGGAGCAAGGGTCTGGCAGGCCAGGCTCTGGCCACAGCTGCCTCCACCAGCAAATTTAGCAGACTCCCGCCACCCAAATCACGATTGTCAGAGCCTCAGGGGTGGCCAGAACTCAATGGTCCAATCCCACGTTCTCCAGATGAGTGAATGTGCCCCAGAGAGAGCGGAGGCCTTGCCCAAGGTCACACGGGCATTGGGGCAGGGCCGCTGACCACCAGCGCAGAACTCAGTCCTCCACGCTACAAGCCAGGCCCCCCAAGATCCCTAACACTTGGTCCCCCACCCCCGTGCTGGTCAATCCTCCCTCCTCCACAGGGGCTGCAGGCTGGAGGACTCCTGGAGCAGAAACCTCAAATTAGGCTGGGCTAGTCTCGACGTCACCTTCCCAGAGTGCCCGTTGGTGCGTGGTTCGGGGCTTCCCGGCTACAGGGGAGACAAGATAGACTGACATACCAGCACACGTGTGTAGAAAGACATATGGATACACATGAACACAAAAAGGGACCATGTCTCTGCCATTCCAAGATGTGTCACACATGTCTCAGTGAACGTGCTCAGGGGGCCTGCCCATGATGCAGGACATGCAGCTGGGCCCCCTGCACACGTGCAGCACAAAAGCATGCCTGCACCCATCTGTGTAAATGCGCGTGCTGGTTTTGGCATGCACCAGGAACTCAGGGCACAGGCTCAAAGCAGACGAGGAAGGGGGCAGATGGGAGCAGAATCCCTCCCCTGGGGGTATCTCAGTGGGCTGGACCCAGTAGGAAGTGACCATGACTACAGAGACCCATCCTTGGCCCTCCTGACAGGTGGGTAGGGGGCCTCAGGCCCTCTGGTTCCTGCCCAGGAGTCCCTAGGCCCCTTTCCTGGGTAGGGCCTTGGGCTCCATGGGCAGCCCTATGGAGGTTTAAGGAGGGGATAGGCCCCGTGTTGGGCTGGGTGTTGGCTGATGTGGGGAGGGGGCCTACACTGGGCATTAGCCCAGAGCTCCTGGAGTCCGAGGTGGAGGGGCCTGGGCTCTTTGCAGCCAACATGCTAGTCCTGTGCCAGCTCCAGACACCCCAGTCCCTTCTTCGTGTACTCAGAGCAGGGACTAGGGACAATAGCCCGGGTTACAGGCGACTCAGCCCAGGACACTGTGCCCCGGGCCTTCCCTCATGCTGGGAGAGAAGCACTCACTGAGCCCCGCTCCACGCCAGGCCCCGGGACAAGTACTCTACCTACATTAGGCCATCGACTCCTCCCAACAACCCTAGGAGGAAGCGCTCATCATCCCTTCACAGATGAGGAATCCGAGAGGCAAGGGACTTGCCCAAGTCGCACCCCTGTGTGTGGCAGGGCCAACCTCTCTGAACCAGGCCAATACCAGATGCTGAGGGGCTGGCTCTCAAACCCCGGAGTCCTCAGCCCAGGACAACACCCCTTCCCACGTTGGGGCCTCCAGGGAGCCTGGTGGTCCTGACCAGTGGTGGGGTTGCCTCCTGAGCTGAGAAAGGTGCTGCTCAGGTGGCCTGTTTCCTGGCTGTGATACAGAATGCGGCCTGTCCCCCTGGAGGGCACAGACACAGCCAGCATTGTCTGCCCGCAGGTGTTGGGTGCCAGGTGTAGGAGCTGCTGACGCCACTCTTGTCACCTGAGCTGCTTGCCCCAGCTTGGCAACGCATCGCACCCTCATGCCCAATTGCGGAGGCAGGGCCTCCTGGAACTGCAGGGCCGGACCCTGGAGAAGGAACCACGGGACAGGGGCAGGGGGACAATGGTGCACCCCCACACTTGTCAGTAGGGCCACCAATGCCTCACTGCCTCCTGGGCACAGGGGGCGACAGTTGTTCCCTATGGGTGGGCCAGGGCTTCAAGGATCACCTGCCACTGACTGAACCCTTCTGTGGCCAGGTGACCATGCTGAATGCTTTTGTGTGCCTTGGCCCATTACTTCAAATAAAAGTCCTTCAAGGCAGGATTTGTTACCATATTTGGGCCCAAGGTCACATGGCTGCAGGCCCAGCAGACTCTGGCTTCCAGCCCCCATCAGCCTTGCTTCCTCAGCCACCCTCCCACCCTCGCTCCTTCCTTCCTGGCTTTTGAGAGGATGCAAAGAGGAGGCTGTGCCTTCAGAGGACTTCTCAGCAGAGGCAGGACTCAGATTGGAGGTTGGGCCTCGCTCTTCCAAGCCAGCTTGGGCAAGTGTTGCTAAGGAACTAGGAAAGTCTGGGTGGGGCTCTAGGGAGGGTCCTGGGAGGCAGGCAGGATGCCTGGTTTGCCTCTGAGCTGCCTAGGGCTCTGGTACAATGAGGGCTTTGTCCCAGCTGTCCCTGCTCCTACCTTGCTTGGCAACCCCGCCCCTCCCTCCTCTTGAGCTCTCTCTTCCTTCCTCTCTGGCCCTGGGGTGGGAAGGGGACAGCATTTGTACCTGGATGGAGCTGATAGTCTCCTGGGAGGCCAGAGCCAGCCATTCATCTGGGACAGAGGTGGAAGTAGCATTTCCCCTGCTGGGACGAGACCTTGCAGGCTGGGGTCCCTCATGGGAGGGCAGAAGCCACGCAGGCTCAAAGGGCGCCACCTCTCCAGGATCCTGCTCAGAAGCCTCAGTGTGTGCCCTGTGCTCTCTCAGGTCCTCCCTTCCTTCTAGGCCCCAGAGAGGAGGCAGATTGCCATGGCATTTGTCACCATGCCGCCTGCTTGGCCTGGAGTCCTGCAGGCCTGTCCCCAGGTGGCCAGAGGCTGCCACTTGGAATGGAAGGTGGAAAGAAAACCCTTAGCTGCAGGGGGCTGGGCTGACAGTCTCTCATCACCCAGACCCAGAGTAAACCCAGCCCCTTCTCTTCAGCCTCCCTCCCTTTCCCCAACCTGCTGCACCCACCTGCTGCCTGCACAACCTGCATGGCAACCCTGCTGTGCCCACCCCCTCACACGCCCAGTTTCCTGAGGGCCTACAATGGGGGTCCAGGGTATACAGCAGGATCCAGGAAGCAGGGGATGGAAGGACATGGAGATAGAGTCAAACAGATCTGGGCTCAAATCCCAGCTCTGTCACCTTCCAGCTGCCTGCCTTGGGTAAGTCACGCCACTTCTCCGAGCCTTAGCTTCCTCATCTGTAAGTAGAGCTATGACAGAATGCACCTCATATGGTCACCATGAGAATAACACGGGATAACGCACGTATGGGGCTTAGCCCAGGGCACACAGCAAACACTCAAAAACGGGAACTGCCCAGTATTTCGGAAGTAGATAACTGCAATGCAATGTGAGCTTCAAAGCAGAAACACATTCAAGGCATAATGGGTGGCCTCAGGAGGGTCAGGGAAAACTTCTCCAAAAAGAAATTTTCACTGGGTCTTGAAGGATGAATAGGAGTTCACCAGGCAGAGAAAGCGAGTGGGAGGGAAGGTGAAACCTGGGCAAAGGCAGTGGTAATTCAACAGCAGGGCTGCTCAGGAAACCAGGGGGCCTGGTGAAGGCGGAGGCACAGTGGGGGTGAGGCTGCAGAAGGAGGCGGGGCCAGGCCACACAGAGCCACATAAGCCAGGATCTTGTCCTGTGAGCAACAGGGAGCCGTTGACAGCCCTTAAAAGTGGGGGACACAACCAGATTTGCATTTTAGAAAGCCTCTGGATGGGGGTCCTTTGAGCAGTATGGCCGGGAAGGGACAAGAACAGAGGCAGGAAGACCAGTTAGGAGGTTACCAAAAAATTAGAAGGGCCTGAGTCAGGGCAGCAGGAGGAACAACGGAGAAGAAGGGCTGGAACCTCCTCAAAATTCATCAGATGCCCCCAGTGAAGTAAAAATTAGGGCAAAACTCTTGATCCCGGCATTCAAGGCCCTCTCATCTTTACCCTTTCCAACCTGCTCTCAGCTGCCTGCTGACCCCCCAGGAAAGCCCCATTAGTGGCTCCCACAGCTCTGTGAGGGCTGTGTGCCCAGCCTGCCGCGCCTTCCCTGGCTGTCCTCATGCACACCTCACACGCTTTCTGTCAGGCTCTGCCCTGCACCCCTTTCCTCCTGGGACTTTTCCGGTCACTTACTGTCTTGACCACTTAGCATGCCATGCCTTGGGTTGAAACTCATGGAACACCACTCTCTGGGGAATTTCACAAAAATAAACACAATCAACACACAAATGTTAGGAACACAATGGTTTAAACAGGCATGTTTGATAGAGCAAGGGGTTGGATTAGATGGTCTCTAAGGTGCTTCTGGATCCCAGATCCTTGGGCTGTTAACGAAATGATGACTTCCAATGGACGCTTTCTTCCCCCACTTCAATTACTAGAACTCCTGGGTTTCAGTTTTCACATCTGTAAAATTAGGAAGCTGCATTCTTCAAAGAGACACTATGGCATTTTACTCAATCAACAAGTTACGAGAGAGAAAGCAGGTACTTGTGTTAATCTAATATTCTAGCTAAGTGAAAGTCCCTGTAAGTACCATAAACCACCTATTTGCAAAGAATTAGCCATCAATAAAAGAAGAAAGCTAACCTAAAATCCAAGGGAACAGAACAATCTGTGTCTGCTGACTCAAGCCTCTGACAGCTGTGGAAAGCAGAGCATTGCAACCAACAGAACAGAACTTGGGAGGGGTCCTCCCTCTGTCAAGGCAACACGAGAATGCAGAACATTCTGCCCGTCAAACAGCAGAGCGCCTGGTGCTCCTAGAATGCTAATGCAGAGAGAAGTGGGAGATGGAAGACCAGCCTGGGAGTGTTCCAGCAGCCGTCCTCTGGACCTCAGGGGGTTAGGGCTACAAGGGCTAGTCACAGCTGAGGAGTTCAGTCAACCTTCCACTGGCTTCACGGCCACATTGTGAAGCCACAACACTCCTCCGCATGGTCAGCGAAACCCAGGACCATTCTTCCTGGACTCGGGCCTTTCTCCAGCTTGCTTCCTGTGTCCTGCACAAGTTGCCCTCAGAGCTGGAACCATAGATGGGAGCCACTGGACTCTTTCTCACTGTGGCAACCCCAGCACAGCAGCAGGACAGACTCACATCTTGGCCAAATGTTGCAAAGGCTTCCCACGGCAACCAGGCTGGGATTGAGGGCTGAGGCGGCCACTCCTCAGGAAGTCTCTGGTGGTTAGACTCGGATTCCAGAGCTTGGAGGGCCTGGAGTCCAGTGGTCTTCAAACCACCCAGAGAACTCGCCTCTGGGACTGCTGAGGGGGTGGGCTCAGGCCTCCTTTCCCATTTCACCTGAAGAGGCTCCTCTTGTATCTGTTCTACATATAGAAGGTCTGAAGTAAGGCTACTTTTTAAAAGGGGTTTTGCAGGTTAAAAGTCTCTGCCATATGTACTTTCCACAACGAGATACTACTGCACGTCCACTAGGATGCCTATAATCTAAAAGATGCACAATAACAAGTATAAGCGGGATGTGGAGAACTTGGAACCCTTGTGCATTGCTGGTGGGAATGTAAAATGCTGCAGCTTCTGTGGAAAACAGTTTGGCAGTTCCTCAAAAAGTTAAACATAGAATTACCATATGACCTAGCAATTCCACAGTAGTTATATACCCCAAAGAAGAGAAAATAGGTGTTCAAACAAAAAATTGTACAGAAATGTTCATAGCAGCACTATTCACAATAGCCAAAGGAGGAAACAACCCAAATGTCCATGAACGGATGAAGGATAAACAACATGTGGTATATACATAAAATGGAATATTATTCAGCCATAAAAAAGGAACGAAGTACTGATACGTGCTACAACATGGATGAACCTTGAAAACATTATGTTAAATGAAAGAAGCCAGACACAAAAGGCCATATATTGTCTGATTCCATTTAAACGAAATATCCAGAATAGGCAAATCCATAGAGACAGAAAGCAGATTAGTGGTTGCCAAAGGCTGGGGGAAGGCGGCGGGATGGGGAAGGATTGGTAATGGGTATGGGGTTTCTTTTGGGGATGATGAAAATGTTTTGGAATTAGATAGTGGTGATGGATACACAACTTTGTGAATATACTAGACGCCTCCCCCGAACTGTACATTTTAAAAGGGTGATTTTTCCAGTATATAAATTATATATCAATAAAAAACAAATTTAAAAAAATCTATATAACATATATTTTAAATGAACAGTTGTAAAAGGACAGGCGTGGTCCAGAAAGGGGAAGGGAATTGCCCGGGATGGCTCAGCAAGTTGTGACAGAACAGGAGCTAGGACCAGCCCTCCTCCCTCTACCTGACCTCAGGCAGCTGGGCCAGGGCCCAGGGTGCTTTTCTGTTGCTCCTGACTCTGGGTCAGCCTGGAGGAGACCGAGGCTGCTCCTTCTGAAGTTTTTGCACATCCACAACCCCATCTTATCCTCATGAGTTCCCCTTCCGGAGGCCAGGTGGAGACCATTCCATCAGACACATGAGAAACCTGAAGCTGCAGCGGTTTCCAGAGTCACCCAAGGTCGTGGGCACCTGCATTTCTACTGCATCACGACGGTTTCATAATACGATAGACCTGGGACACATTTCATTACGTTGCATAAAAGAGGAAAAATCTACTTTCCCAGGAGATTCGAAAATACCATGGTAGAGATGAGGGGCTCCTCATGCTTCCATAAAAGCAGGGCCCCACAGAAACAGGAGGTGAGCAGAGCAAGGAAGACTGTTAAAAAAGAAGTGTGCTTCTCCCTGACCAGTGTAAGTCTCTCCCTATTTCTCCACGAATCAGCCTTGTGGGCAAAGGAGAAGCCTTCACCATGAGGACCACTGTTCTCAACTCTCCCAACAGCTGCTGCATCCCACCCAGAAGCCTAGGTGCTCTGAGAGCCCGCCATGGAGAGACCCCCAGCTCCTGTGAGCCACATCACATGGTCCCTCTCTGTCACCTTGGGCCCTTGACCTCTCTGAGTCTCAGCTACCTCGTGCATTCAGTGGGAACCACCCTTCTGACCCTGCCTGTCCCACTGGGATCCAACCAAGGTAATGAACGGAGGGAGGGAGGAAGTTCCCGGACAATTAGAGGACTGAACACTTCTTGCTATTACTACCACTACCCCTGGAAGGGGATAGTTCTTGTTTTACCACCTCAGATGAAGTCAGAGCAGGCCCAGGGGGCAATCCTGAAATTACTGGCACCTTTTGCCAAGCCAACTGCCCGGGTGGCTCTCCAGGGCAATGCCTGGCAGGTCTCCTACATGGGAAGGGGGCAGCAGGGGAACACTGGTTTCCACTCCTCTACTGTCTAGCTGCTCCGGGGCTGTCCCTCAGCAGTCACCCACAGGGAGGTGTGGGGAACCGAGGGGCTGTGGTGCTGTCCCAGCTCGGCAGCTGCCTGGCAAGTGGCTCCTGGCAGATGGAGGCCCTTCAGTGACCGTGGCTGCAGCATATGCTTTCCTGGGCTTCTGGCTGATAGAGCTGTCAGCCTCAGCCCGGCTCCTCTCCCTGCCCCCTCCTCCCAAGGTTCCAGCTCTAAAGCATCAGTAAAGGGAAGACAATGGGCCTCCATTCCATTGGATCCTCTCTTTTTTTCAGATCTCTACCTTGCTTCTTGGGATCCCTGAGTCAGCGTCCTCTCCACATTTATCCCAAGTACCAGCAGGGGCTAACACACTCTCAGAACGCTAGAATGGAAAGGATCTTAGGTAGACTTTGTCACAGCCCATCATTTTACAGAAACTGAAACCCAGAGAGAACATGTGATTTGCCTGAGGTTGCCCAGCAAGTGGGGGACAGAGCCTAGGCTGGGACTCAACCCCTGACTCTAGCGATGAGGCTTCTGCACAGCAGCCCCCACCTCTCACCCCCATTTGAATCCAGACAAAAGTTCACAAAATAAGAACACAGGGTAGCTTTTCGAGTAAAGAAGTCATGGCAGGAAAGCCTAGGGGTAAGACAGGAGAACTCTCACCAACTTTAAGGCAGCTTGCAAATGACATGTAGTGAAACATACACTGAAACGGAGGCCTAGGGAAGAAGGGAATACCACAGCCTGACCACAAACAACCATGGCAGCAATAACAAGGTTCAGATTCAACTCCGAGCTTCCTGGCCACGGATGCAAAAAGAGAAGTTATGCCCAGTCTTCTTGTTCTCATGGTTAAGGGAGCATGGGAAGCAGACTAATTCCCCAGGAGAAATAGAGATCCTGCTAAAATGAAAGCTAAAAGAAACATTATTGCGGGGCTGGCCCGGTGGCGCAAGCGGTTAAGTGTGCACTCTCCGCTGCGGTGGCCTGGGGTTCGCAGGTTTGGATCCCGGGTGTGCACCAACGGACCGCTTGTCAAGCCATGCTGTGGCAGCGTCCCATATAAAGTAGAGGAAGATGGGCACAGATGTTAGCCCAGGGCCAGTCTTCCTCAAGAAAAAAGGGGAGGATTGGCATTGGATGTTAGCTCAGGGCTAGTCCTCCTCACAAAAAAAAAAAAAAAGAAAGAAACATTATTGCATGGGACTTGCTGTAGCGGGGAGGACTGCCCTTTGGGAACCTGCAAGGAAAGTCTTAAGACAGAGGAAAGAGGGTGCCCTCAAAGCTCACCCTAGTCGCCCCGTGTGTGCGTGCTTTGCTGATGTGAGATCAGAGGACCCATGGAACACAAGGACCAAACGGTCAAGGGGACGGGGAGATGTCATCTGATCTGCCAGGGACCCAACCCGCTTTCCATGGAGATAGCCCCCCACCCAATCTGAGACCAGACAGTGTCCATCCTCCTGGGAATCCAAAACAGGGAACCACAAAAACTCACACCATCTCTCGCACTCTCTCCCGGCATTTCACAACAATCTAGTCCAACTGCCACATTTTCTAAGCTGAAAACCGAGAACTTGCCGAACCATGAGCTATCGGAGCAGGGGACATGAGGCTGAAGGTGGGCCAGCTGATTCTCACCCTACCAACCACTCTGGCATGTGGCTCCTGTTGGAAGCCAAGTCTCATCTGTCTCCTTGAGGCTCCTGGGGGCTCAGGGTGGAGATTCTAGCTCAGCTCACCCAACCGTTCCTGTTTCAGCCCAGGAGCCATGCCCACCCCACTCAGCATCCTTCGTCTCTCCTCCCAGATCCTCTTGCTTTCTCCAGCTGCCAGCTTCCCTGCCATCCACAGCAGCTGATTCCTGTCCAGCTGATTTCCAGAGGCATTTCCGTGTCAAGCTGAATTCTTTCACCTTTGCTAAGATCCAGGGCCTTCGACAGGGCCCAATACGGCTCACACTTGTTGGAAGAGGGTGGGTAATTCATAAACCCCTCTCCCAAGAAGTCTTCTCTCTCTAGAGAAGCTGCCCCACCCCTTAATTTAGCTAAAGTGAGCATTTTAAAAATGTTTTAAAAGAGAGATTCTGTAAACATCTATGTCCTATTTTAAGAGCGCTTTGTCTCAGAATGAGTTTTTCCCCTTCGCTGAGAGACCAATGAACCATAGCTTTGGGCTCCAATTTGAATTCCAGACTCCACCACCCACCATCTTTACGACAGTGGGAACGCCACTTTACTTCTCTAGGCCTCAGTCTCCTCATCTGTAAAACGGGGCTAATTACATCTGTGCGTGAGTATGGTCATGATTAGCAATACTGCATGCTAAACACCTAGCAAGGACCTGGCATAAGGAAAGCACTCCACAAATGGTAGTAATTATTTATTCACCTAAATACATTCTTCTTATTCATAGATATTACATCTTTATCCCAGTCCAAAATCTTAATCTGAAATATTATGAGAGTTTGTATCTCAGGGGGAGATGATGAGATCATCAATCAAATGATTCTGACTACAGAATCATTTATACCTACTTTGGTCTACTGGCAAAAAAAGGGAAAAAATACAAACCAATCACTGTCTACCAAACAACCGAATTTCAGGACATTGCCACTTAGGTCCAACAGAGCAGTTTAAAATGAACGTGTCCAAAATACGAACTCCTGGTCTGAATGTGACGCCTCTTGGCACCTCACTGCTTCCTCCCTGGTCCGAGACACCCTCTCTCTCTGGGATGATGTGACAGTCTCACCCCTACAACCTCTACAGCAGCCAGAGGGATCCTTTTAGAATACGAATCAGATCATGTTGCTCCTCTACCCAAAACCCCCCAAATGGCTCCCAC